TTCAGTGCGTCGGGCGAGCGATCGCCGTACTTTCAAGACTCCCACATGGTCACTCCACCCGCGACGACTCGTACTGACCGAGTTGCGCGTGGTGCCGAAGACTCGAAAGTGACCAGGAGCAGTCTACGAAGCACCGGACGACGCTCAAGTCGCAAGTCCCGCTACGCCGACGACTCATCTGATGACCACGATGACTTCACGGGAGACGGAGGTGCGCAAATGGACGAATATCTGCGACAGATCCGGGAGGTGAGCGACGCAGAGACCGTGAACCCGACGCCGAGGCTCGAGGTAGCGATGCACCGACCACTTGGGCAGATCCCGACGTTCTCGGGCGCTCGCAACAGGAGCGAGAACTCGATGCAGTGGCTGCGCGCTTTTGTGTACGAGATGAAAGGTACACACGCGCCGCCCAATGAATGGTGCATGCCCTTCGAGCTCCGCCTGAGAGACGGCGCGGTACACTGGCACCGACAATTGACCAAGAAGACCAAGCGAACCTGGACTCTGCTGAGCGACGCCGCCAGCGATCAAGGCTCCGACGACTCCGAAGAAGGCAGACACGATGGTTACTCGTCGGATGACAGCGCGCTGGCGGCGTCGCTGTCATCGTTGAACTGCTGGCGCGCACTGTCGCATCCGGTCGAGGTGCTCCTGGCGTCCCGTCCTTGCAGCTCAGCAACTGTTTTCCACTGATGCGTCAGCCAGGGTCACGCGAGGAACGTTCCTGGAGTCGTCGCGACGACGCTCATAATCTCGTTCGCGTCGATCTCCACGGCTGTGGCCAGTTCGCGAGTCATCGCGGCGGTATCCGTCTCGGGTGTCTTGGTGGCGCCGGTCATCTCGGCGACGCGAGTCATCGGGACGCCTGTCATCACGTCGGCGGGACGGTTCCCGAGCCTTGGATCGCGACTGCGAAGACTCGCGCGAACTCTGTCGCTCTTCAAACTTCAGCATTTCGATGATCATCTCCTCCAGCTCATGGATGTCCTTGATTCGCAGGGAGCGAGTCGTCTCTCCAGCTTACGGTCGCCGCAAGTCCCCAGGAAGCGCTTGACGTGGTCCTTCGCCTTGCGGCCGCCGTTCTCGAACTGGACGCCTGCGTTGCAGGCGTAGCCGTTGAGTCGGTTCAGGTAGTCGCAGAGGTGCTTCTTGTCGTCGCGCTTGGCAGAGTAGTATCGGGTTTCCGCTGACTGGTTGAACTGGGAGCAGTAGTAGCGGATGAAGGCTTCGCTCAGCAGAGTCCAGGTTCGCTTGGTCTTCTTGGTCAATTGTCGGTGCCAGTGTACCGCGCCGTCTCTCAGGCGGAGCTCGAAGGGCATGCACCATTCATTGGGCGGCGCGTGTGTACCTTTCATCTCGTACACAAAAGCGCGCAGCCACTGCATCGAGTTCTCGCTCCTGTTGCGAGCGCCCGAGAACGTCGGGATCTGCCCAAGTGGTCGGTGCATCGCTACCTCGAGCCTCGGCGTCGGGTTCACGGTCTCTGCGTCGCTCACCTCCCGGATCTGTCGCAGATATTCGTCCATTTGCGCACCTCCGTCTCCCGTGAAGTCATCGTGGTCATCAGATGAGTCGTCGGCGTAGCGGGACTTGCGACTTGAGCGTCGTCCGGTGCTTCGTAGACTGCTCCTGGTCACTTTCGAGTCTTCGGCACCACGCGCAACTCGGTCAGTACGAGTCGTCGCGGGTGGAGTGACCATGTGGGAGTCTTGAAAGTACGGCGATCGCTCGCCCGACGCACTGAACACTCCTCTAGTCGCAGCCTGGGCTGAGTTACTGCGCTCGGTCTTCTTCGGAGTTCGCGGGAGCAAGACGCGCGCTGGGTCAGCGCCGCCTTTGTTGGTGCGAGCCGCCTTCGGCTGTTCCAAAGAGAAGGGGGCCACCCCGAAGGCTGTACACAACTTTTTCTTCCATTGGCAGAGCTCGGCTCCGGCTTCCGCGGGCAGGAAACTCTCCAGAGTCGACGGCGACGGGGCAAGCGTGGGCCGGAGACCCAACGCCTTCAGGAACGTCACCGTGTCCTTCGCCACTTGCTCAACTGTGACCGCATTCACTGGTCGTGCCAACTCGTGGCTCAGGTCAGCCCACACCGCTTGGCGGATCATGCGCGGCTCCAAGAGTCGACCCCATTCGCTCGCACGCATTGCTTCAAAGCATCAGCCGAGTACCTTGTTGGCTGCCGGAGTGTCTCCATTCATCGGCGGCCGGTTGCCCGAGGTTTGCTCGGTCACTTGAGTCGTCAGCACCGGCGATCGTGAGTCGTCGGCGCGGTCTTCAAACGCTTCCATGTCATCATACGCTGGCTCAGGGCCGTCCACATCGTCCAGTTCGTCCGCGAGGTTGCGCGAGACGGGAGGCGCGTCGTCTTCCAACTTGCTCGCGAGACTGCGCGCCAGGGAGCGCGAGCCCCCGCTGCGCCCCGCGGACATCCCTGCATCTTCCGGAGTCTCGGGTGTCACCACCGCTGGCGTAGGCGCCTTCTCCTCCAGGTAGTCGTCGTATTCTTCATCCATCTCTTCATCTTTGGCGTCGGATCCAGTCATCGGCTCGTCGAAGCTGACGTTGCGCTCAGCAATCGGGTCGGGCTGCGGTGTGATCAAGACCGCCGTCGAGTCGTCGCCGCGCGTTCCGCCGGACTTCATCGGAGTTGCTGGTACCGCGGATTGAGATCCTGTCGCCATCTTCTTCTTCATCAGCTTCTTCTTCTTCTTCTTCTTCTTCATCTTCTTCTTCTTGGTTGTTTCTCGTAAAGTCAGTTGACCTGCTGTAACACGAGACACAGAAGGTCACACCAATCCCGGGTCGCGGCACCAGTTGTCGTGTAGGAACACGCACTAAATTGTATAATAGCACACTTTCCCCACCAACAACACCCACCAAGTCCCGATGACTCAATGGGCTTGTTAGGGTTAGAACCTGAAGGCACAGGAACTTTCCCTTGCACCGGGTTGATGTTTCCTCTGTGCACCGTGTTTCCGCTTAGTCAACTGACGGAACCCCAGCGTCACCAGCCACGAGCAAAGGCTGGCACGCTCTCACACACAATATAAACCTCGCAGGCCCTCAGGAAGGAAGGGCCCCAGCCAGTCACGGCTTGATACGAGGGTGCCGGATCTATACTCCGGCGGGAAGGATAAATGGAGTGCGCTCTCGCTCCTCCACTACACGGCGATGACTCGCCCTTCGTATACACGGCCACCTCTTCGCTTCTCTTGGCCTGACCACGGGTAAGCGCACGCTACGATACTAGCAGGCGCGTCCACCGACAGTCATAATCCTACCAACAGGTTTGTCCAATTGCTACGGGAACTCACTGATAGCCCGGACGTCTTCCTTGAGTGGTTGGGAGGAAAAGCTGTTCTGTTCTTGTTGCCCAAAGGGCTTATCTGTTCTATCTTCTCTTTCCTATGGTTCAATACAAATATCTAGTATAAACGCGTCCGTTTTGGATCTTCCCAAGTAACCACCGACCCTTTAGAGCCTCCTCGACGCCCCACGATGACTCTATTGGACGATGAAGACTTGGAGCAGTCGCCGGGGCTCGAACGGTCGTCTTAAGTGCGGATCTCGGGTCAAAGTTCGCTGTAAGTTCGGATCGTACTTGAAGTCCTGGGTCTCGAACTTGGGTGTCGACGAGTCTTCGGCTCCGGTCCAGAATGGCCAATCAGCATCCGCCGAACATTGCTGAACATGTCCCGACGACTCGGGTCGCCACTGAAGCTTGGTCGTCAGCTCGATTCTCGTTCACCGCCAAATCAATACACCACAGCTGCCCCCACCACTATGTGAAACACATGATGGCGAGCGTCGTGGTGCGTTTTGCTTCTGCTTCCTTTCGCTGTTAACGACGTCTGGTGTTGTTTGCCCCGGTTGCGTGCTTGGTAGGCGTCTGCGTTGTCGTAATGTCGCGCCGGTGGCTAGCTGCTGTAGGCTTACCTGGTTCCATAACTCGGGTTCGCACCGAGCCGTCGGGGCCGGGTTGGCGACCGCCGCATAGTGTCTTCGACGTCGTTCGGTATAGTGCCGACATATTGTCCGCCTTCACCGCCGTTCCACGACCTTTGTTGAGTTGAGCAGCGGTGGCATCATCGCTTTCGTCAGACTCTGCTTCGTAGACAACGGCACGACACTCCATGACCGCTCGGCTTGATTCTGTACAACCACCCGGTTCTCGGGAACCATACGATGATCAGCATCATGATGCGTGATGACCTGGACGAGCTTGGTGAGGCCGTAGACTGCGGTAGCTCCTTGCGCATAGGCTTCAGCAAGTTCCTGCGGCCGATCCGGTCCTCACAAAAACTTCTCAGCCACCATCTTGCCGTAGCGCGTCTGACCCAGCGTAGATCCTGCTTCAGGCGCTTTGAGTCATCGGCAGTTGTCAGCGCACCTCCGTCCGAGCTCCAAGCACAACAAGTCTTCGCCAGCACTGCCCTTGAGTTGTCGGGGCCCGTTGTAGTTCGTTCCAATCGGTATTCTCCATCCGTATCATTCGCGTTCAATATCCATGTAGCATGCAAAGCTGCAGTAGCCATTTTCGTCTGCACTCCTGGGCTGCATTGCCCCAGGCGCAGTTCACCGTGAGGTTGAGTTGTCGCGAGCAGGTGCTAGGCGTTGCACACAGCCTCGACACTAGTCCACGTGTAGCAACCTTGGCGCTTGTAGACAGCAGAGCCTTGCACGTAGCGACCTTGTTTTCATCAGTCGGTTTGCCCCGTTCCATGTACGGCCGGATGCGGCTGACCCACTTGACGCGAGATCTCGGTGTGCTGTTGGTCTGTCCGTTCTCTGGATAACCTGCACTGTTTGCACAAAACTCGCATTCACCCAGTCGTCGGCAGTCTTGTCGGTCCGGATCGGTGGCTTCGTCTTGAGCTTGGCTTGTGACCGAGTCATCGGCGCGGCCATGGTAGGCTCAATGCTCCTTGAACTACTGCTGGAGAAATCTTGGGACCGAAAAGAATCACCAGGAAGCACGTTCTGCGGGGATATCCCGTCCGGATCGATTTTGTAGATCACCGCTTGGAGTTGGTTGAGCTCACAGAGCGCGGCCTTCCTATCGCCACTCAAAACCACCTTCGACGTCTGAGATTCCAACGCTTCAGAAGCTAGCGAGTACGCGGTAGCTGAGTTGCTGCGTCTTGTTAGTGCACCCGCGCGACCTCTAGGCTCCGGTGGGTCTCATGAGAAGCTCTGTGCTGTCTACAGTCAACTCAAGCGGAAAGATGGTGAGGTCGTCGCTCTGCGAACTAAACTCAAAGACCGACTGAGTCAGCTGAACGTTAGCGATGCAGAGGAGTGCAAGGAACTGCAGGAGATGTCCAGCCAACTAGCAAAGGAATTGAGCGAGAGAAACAAGCTGGACGGAGAGACAGGGGCACTGAGCCAGCAGCTCTTGCTCTCCAACAAAGGCATCCGCGCGCTGGTGATCGATGCACTGAAATAAGATACCTCGTCGTCAAGTTGAAGTTGAAGAGGAGTGTTGGTCGTTCCAGCGATCTGGCGGTAGGCGCGGGTTCCGCACTCTGCTTGCAGCTCATTCCGCATTCTGCCGCGTACCAGCAAGAACGTATGTACAGCAACCGCCGCTGGTCGCCTTCCTCTGCGGGTCATGGCTTTCCAGCGTGTGGGAGGCCCCAGGAGCAGTGCGAAGGCCCGTTCGAGAGCTGGCTGCGCGCGAGGGGCATCGAGCTGGAGCCTCTGAGGAGGGAGAACCCTCGGTTGGAACGCCTCTTTCGGTCGGACTTCGACACGCTGAGAGCTTTGAAGATGCGAACGAAGAGAGTAGCCACGCAACCTTCGACAAACGGGTCCGACAGTGAAGAGGAGGGGGAAATTAGAGAAGAAGAGGAGGTGGTGGGGCCGCTGATCCAGTGTCCTCAATGTGCGTTGAGGGGCGAGGAGGAGGAAGTTGAAGCTGAGGAGCCGACGTACGGAGGCATCCGCAGTCGCAGCGAGTTGCTGGCGACCAGGGTGCTGCCAGCCGACGAGTTCCGGAAGATGGTGGAGCGGCATGGCCCCAATGGCTACATGGTTCCCAGTGATAGGTTGCCGCCGATCCCCATTGTGTTGAGGGACGACGAATCGATTGGGAAGTACGAGGCTGTGTTCCAGAAGTGGCTTCGCTTCAAGAATGTGACGCTGGAGATGCTGAAGGACGACCCGGAGGAGGAGCGGCGCTATCGGCAGTGCTACGCATACACTCGCCTTCGCAAGCAGAATTGGAAGGACTCGGCAAAATACGGACGGCGTCCACAAAGTAGAGGTCGAAGTCCGCCCCGGATCTACAACGACAGCCCAGATTGGGACAGGAAGAGAAGTATTCCAGCCCCAATAGCTACAAGAAGTACGGAGCCGACAAGTACGAGAAGCGTCCTCGACAGAGCTGTTATCGTGAAAGTGACTACTCGATTTCGCCTGCGGTTTCTGGAGATGCTCGTCACGGTGATATCAAGTGTGAACGCCATGTCCACGATACACAGGAGACGGCTTTGAACTCATAGGTGGATCGCTTCTTCGAGGAGATCGGACAAGAGGTGGTGCATTTGTACGCAGGCGACTCAACTCTTGTAAAGGATTTCGTTTACACCCGGTCTGCAGTGGTGACCGGTCCACGAGAGTATCCCGCTGAAAAGTGCAATGGCCCCGAGCTGCCTCTTGCTGGAACGGATGGAGCTGCTGACTTTCACACTGTTGCCAAGGCTTCGTGCACTCACGAGTTGCCAGATAAGTGCTCTCGGATCCGGAATTGTGCGGACATTGTAGACATCGCGTCCAGGACCATCGCTGAAACAGAGCAGCTTCAGAGAGATCCCCTAAAGCAGCGACTTCGCGACAACTACCTTCGACTCACTGACCAAATCACCGTGAATGAAATGGCGATGGACGACTTACTGGCCTACGTCAAGAAAATCGAGGTGAGCGACGCGGAGGAAGCGTCGTACAACCTCAGTCAAATTGAAGAGGCAGCTGCGTCAATTAGCGAGGTGAAGAAGGACCGTGACACAGCTCTTGCCGTTGTGGTGGCTCACGAACGGATGGAAAAGGAGCCCGTATTGGACAAGCTTCTTCGACCCTTCGTTGATGAGACGGTGCCTGACCCGGACGCCCACAGGAGGTTGGCGTTGATGTACAACGAGCTCAAGCGGAAGGAAGACGGGTTGGAGACGTTGCAAGCGAAACTAATAGTCATGCTAAAGGAGTTTTCCAGTGCCCACGAGACTCAGGCCGAACAACTCCATCGGTTAGCGCACACGGTTTCAGCGGAGTTGAGCTCCCGGTCTCAATTGGAGAACCAGTGCCAAACACTGAGCCTCAACCTGCTTCGAAGAAGCAATTGCTCACCATGTAGCGATCCGAAACGTGAAGATTCCCAAGCATTAGCAGCCTAGAAATGCCTCGTACCTGCTGGAGTTTGCGGAATTGCGGTAGTGATGCTTCTTGCTATAAGAAAACATGGTACGTATGGGGTCTTTTTCTAGCACTCGTGCCGTTGAAAACGAAGTCAGCTCATCAGTGTCCGTTGGTATCTTCGAACACTCATCCAAGTGCGACCCGTTGCCGTCTCATTCTTCATATCGCCAAGCAGCAGCAAGCAAACTCGGTCCTGATGTCGGCGCTGCGAGTGCAGCATGGCGAGAGGTTTGCTATGGAGCTACTAACCAGTCGCATCATGACACTCGAGGAGTTCCTCGCCGAAGAGGACCAAGTGGCTCGCACTGGGGAAGAGAATTATTCAAGGAAGCCGATTCCTGTTCTGCTGAAGGCTGGTGAGACCGTGGATGAGTACGAGCTGGCTTTCGAGAGACGTCTAAAGCGACGAAACGTGGACCTGGGATTGGTGCGCCATGGCCCGATGGTGGAGCGGCGATTCCGGATGGACTTCGCAGAATCGAGGGCCTGGGAGCTGCGGCGCATTCAACTTGCGCAGTCCTTCCGTACTGTTGCCGTCAGCCCGTCGTCTGATAGGCAGCATTGCTTTCACCATGAAGGCCCAAAACATTGGGCTTATCATGGAATTCGCAGCCGCAGAGAGCTACTGCAGACCAACGAAGTGCCAGCGAATGAGTTCATTGTCGACGCGGAGAATCGCGGACCAAATGGGTCCATGTTCGCCGGCGCGAAGTTAAAGCCGATCACTGTGGTGCGAAGACCCCGTGAGCCCTTCTTGTCGCTCGAAGGCACCTTCGAGAGGTGGCTTGCCAGCAAGGACGTGACGCTGTCGCAACTACAGCAAGATCTGGAGGAAGAGCGCCGCCATCCACACGGCTTTGTGCACAGCAGAACCCTGGAGTATATTCAGAGGACGCATGAGCATTCCGAGTCCTCCTCTTCTCGATTGTCGAGCTCCGATTGTAGAATGAGCAGAGGTCAAAGCTCTTACGATGAGGATCGCTGGGACCACAAAAGGCCGGCGTCATTGGGTCCTGGTCGTTTCGAAGGCAGGCTTAACGAGAAGCGACCGCGCCTTGACTTGGAGGTGTCGTCGCCGCAAAACGTCGTGTCCGACATCAGCACTACGCTCAAGGGGCATACATTCGATCTGGAGCAGAAGGTTATGAGTTGTTTGGCGCAACAAAACAGCGATGTGGTGTGCCGTCTTGAAGAGCTGGTTCAAGAAGTAAAAGGGCTTCAGATTGGAGTCAAGAACGCAAGCCACGGCGCTTCCGACGTTACCGACTACACTGAGGTGCCTGCATCTGCTGCCAAATGCGATCAGCATGATGCTGCTGCTGAAGAACGTGAGCTCCCAGTCGTTTCATCTGCAAATGCCGATATATTGCGCGTGGCGGAGGAGATCATTGCAAAGTCGAACGCAGTGACGACTGATCCCATCCTGGAAAAACTGACTGACAAGTACAAGCACTTTGTGGATAGCATCGAGGTGAACGAAATAGCGTTGCATGGGCAAGTCAAAGAAGGGAAGGTGGCTGGCATCCAGGGGACAATTTCGGCGATCAACAAAGAGAAACAGCGGCGTGACGAGGCACTTGCGGATCTGGTCGCTTGCATGTGGCGAGGGCGCAAACGAATTTCTTGCGCCAACCTTCTCAAGTGCAAAACCCAAGCGAAGCGCACCAGAATCTAGCTCTATTGTGCGTGAAACTTGAGCAAAATGTGAAGAAAGTGGCGACACTGCGGCCAAAACTAAAGAATCGGGTGAGTTGGCTCAAGAAACGTGATACCGATGACGTTGTCGAGATGCAGCAGTTCTCGAGCCAGTTGGAAATGTGGCTGGCAGCCAACGCCACATTGGAGAAGCAGTGTGAAACCCTGGGCATGGACCTGATCTTCCCGAATGTGAATATCCGCGAGTTGATTACCGAGTCGATGGAGGAAACGTAAAGTCTGCAGAAGTAGTCGGTGAATAGTAGTGGTTAGTGAGTACTGTATAATATGATGCAGATATCGAAAACAAGATCGTGTACCGGTAACTCGTACACGGTTAACGCATCCAGCTCTCTGTCTCCTGATCCAACGTAGCCGAGAGAATTTCGAGTTTGGGGAGAACTCATGACTTGTGAGATCTCTCCAAAACGAATCAGGCTTGCATTGCACTTCTCCGCTCTCGTTGAGGTAGTACTCATACACTTTGTGGCATTCTTGGCGTGGATCGATCAGCCAGCGGAAGTACTCGTTGCGCATCTTGCAATCGGTGGGACCAGCGAGCTTTTCGACCTTTAGAACGAAAATTGAGCTCTCCCAGCTGCACTGCGGGGTAGTCATTGCAGCGACACAGCGACTCTTTCGTTTTCAAGTCTTCGTTTCCTGCCCTTGCAAAATGGCCCGCGGTTGCTTTTTCTGTCTTCGCTCACGAAGTTCGTGGGCTGGTCATGCGGCAGGACATCGCCAAAAACGAAACTGCGGAAAGGTACGAGCTGAAATCCGTTAAGTCACAAACGACTAATCGCTGCAACCGTTTGCTTGTGCGTATGCTTTCACATTTGTCGAGGTACTTTGATATTCTCGTTATATTATCGGCAAGTTTAAGGCAAACGCTTTTGCATCTTTCGTAGCTTCAACAATTCGCTGAGAGAGAAAAGGCACCACGAAGCTTCACTAAAGAATGCCATATCGTATCAGGGTACCGTACTGCTCTCGTGTTCTCTACCGTTCTTCACGAGTTCTTTGACTCGGTTCGTGAGGGTAGCATCGACAGTAAAGATCAAAGTATCAAATTACTGGGCTGGTAGCGCTTTTAGGATTAACAACATTACAAATTTAGAAATTACTCAGCTTTAAATATCTGTACTGATACCAAAATCTAGTTCAGAACCGCCAAGTCTGGCAGCTGGGCGGGGACGGAGGTCACCCACGCCAAATCTCCAAAGTTCCACGAGTGCTCTAGGAAACGGAACGGCCTGAAGGCTGCACGAAATATCATTAAGTGAAGTTGGTCTCGTTGGAAAGCTAAAGGACAAGGCTAGCTCTCCGAAGTAACGTCGCTCAGAGCTTCCAGAGCGGACGTTGGGGCTTCGCTGCTGCCGCGCTGCGCCGCCGCCTTGCCTGCGCGCACTGCCCGACAAACGCCGCGCTCTGCTTGAAGTCGAACAGGCGGGACTTGGTAGCTTGCGGAACTGCAGCAGTTCGGGCGTGCGGCTGGGTCTCCGAAGACTTGGGCTCAAAGCCCAGGCTTGCCTATAGTTAAGCGAGCGACAGGTTCGGTAGGGGCGAATTTGTGAAATCCTGGAAATCGCTTTCACCTGCCCACCCCCCTCCGGCTGGTAACCCTAACCCGCATTGAGACACATAGATAACCATACAACTCACACAGTTCGTGATACCACAAAACACACTTAGCGCTACAGTCTTGCGGTATCAGCAGAACTTCTCGCATTCCCACTCCCAAATCAAGCTGCTTCTTCAGTGCCTTGCATTGCGTCGCGCCCACTTGTCCTCGCTACAGTACGGCGATTGGTGTCGTGGAAGTGAGCTCGGGTAGAGGAGACCGTGGCATTCGACTTCGCTGCGCTCCAAACGCATCGTCACCTCTTTCATGACTGGATGCAACTGGCTGGCGAGCCTTGCGCGATACAGTACTCACGGGGTCGGACTGGTCATCAACGCTACTACGTTATTGGTATTAATCTTACGTGTGAGGTGTTCATCCTCTTCGGCCTGCTATATCAACCAAGCACGAAGACGGAGACGATTACAGCTAGTACTAGACTCCATAGAGAGGTGGCGCACCCGCGAGGCGCCCCTGAATTCGACGACTCGATGACGATTCCCTTCGAGATGGTGCTGGATCCACTCGACGATGGCGAAGACGAAGACGATGATCCGACCGCGTCGCTGGCCTTGACGAAGCCCGGCATCATCTCGGCGGCACTCGCGTCCTTAACGATGAAGTCTATGGCGTCCTCGAACGTCTCGTAGGAGCCGTTGGCCAGCCGAACGTCCACACTGAGATCATCGTTCACGCGGATAGTGGTGTTCTCCAACGCTGCGTCTAGATTGGCTTCAAACTCAGCGTAGAGCTCCGAGTTGCCGTCGTGCGGGACGCCTGCAGTCTTGGCGAGGTCGACCTCGTACCGCCAGGTCAGAAGCTCCTTGAAGACGTCAGCGGACGGAGCTTCGTCTTCGAGACCCTTTGCCAGGTCCACGCTGATCTTCAGCAGCGTCTCCACGGCGCTGACGAGCGGCATGCCGCCGATGGTGCACGCTGGAAAGTTGGCCTCGATCACCACGACGAACATGGCGATGCAGGCGTCCGACTCGGCCATGTTCTGGATTTGAGCTTGAGTCGGGTGTTTGCCCTGGTACGGGAAGATCTGGTAGTGCGAAGCGGCCACACACAAGTCGAAGGCGGAGCGGCAGTTGGAGTACAGTGTGTAGACGTTGTCCACCTCGTTCTTGCTGCACTCGGCGCTAGCGACGTACTGGAACGTCGATGAGTCTGATGTCGGGTGCGCGATTGAAAGTTCGCCTTCGCCCTCGTCGTCGGCATCACCATTACTGGCGCTGGTTTCTGTTGAGTCGGGTGTACTGGGGCGTGCGTCCTTCAGGCGGCTCGATGTCGGACTCGCCGTTGTCGCAACTGGAGCGGTAGTTGCAGTGGTTGACTGCCTTGCGCCTTGAGCTGCTGCGCCAGACTCGTTCGACTGAGAAATGCCCACGTTTTCAGGCTCAATTGCAGAAGGAGGCTCCGTGGCCGGTGCCGCTGTTGCAGGCACTACTGGTGCTGTGGCTGGTGTTTCGGTCGGCGCAGTGGTAGATACCTGGGTCGGAGCTTGTGTGGTTATTGTCGGTGGCTCCGTCCTTGGTGGCTCGGTCCATCGAGGCGGCGCGGTTGTACTCGGAAAGTCGATGGAGGACGAGGACTCGCCTGAACTCGAAGCGCTGGCGCTACTGCTTGCAGTCACGACGTTCTCGGTCAATAGGACGGGAGACGAGAAATTCACCGTTGTCACTCCACGAGCCACGAGCGATGGCTCGGGTGTGTAGTCGTCCTCTGGCATGCTGAGACTCGAGTCATTGCAATCGGAGACGACGCCGTGGTTGACAAGCTCCGTCGCCGCCACTACCAGAAGCAGAGCCCACGGTGAGAAGAGCTGCCTCGCTCGCATCGCGACGGCGTTGAAGCTACTCGTTGGACGTCGAAAAGAGGAGTGCCGGAGGACAGCTCGCCTACATCACCAACGAACGGGTGGGCCGATGCATTCGACTCGAGACCAGGAAATCTGATCGATGATCGGCCTTCCCATGGGCTCGTCGCTTACGCTCGGGACACATTGGCGTCAAGACGGGGCGCGATGTCGACGAGGAAATGCCACCGAGACTCGCATGCTTGCACTCGAAGGTGTCGGAATGAGACTCTGGCGGTGAAAGGTGAAGATGCACCGGCACTCCTATTGCGTTCGTTGCGCTTCATGTATTATTCTATACGTGGTCGACTTACTTCGTCATGCAAAAGCTTTAGCATCATTGCTACTTAAGTATACGGTACTGGGTAAATCCCCGATCAACGTGTTGGAGCTCTCCTTTGATCAGTGCTTGATCCCCAGCTGGCATGGGATATGAACAAGCTTGGATACACCAGTCTGGTTCAGTGTTCCCACCCAGTCGACGGCGGCACTTACATAACATGACCTCCTTGTCAATGCTTGAGGTTACCGCACGTAGTTTGATGGAGCAAACGTGAAGGAACGCAGCGTGTAAGTATAGTCATGCCGAGCCATCGTTCCTTCCTGGGTGGCAGTGTATCCGCTTGGCCTTCCTTTCGAGTGGCTACAGCTCTGTAGTGATCGATGCGGATCAGTAACAAACGGAGTAAGCATGCACTTCACGGCATGCTTCGTTTAAGCAGCTTCAACATACATGTATAACCAACCGGCTTCAAGGAGGGGGTACTGGAACAGCTCGCGAAGGAATGCCACCTTGTTATGACTGCGATCTCATCACGCTCATGCACGCGGAGTTTTACTTTGAACATGGTTAAATCGCTGCAATACAAGAACTCATGGTACCAACAAGGCTTGTTGAACAAGCTAATTGAGAAAGCCCGGCGCAAATTAAGCGATAAACGTGTCTCTGTTTGTTTCAGGCGTGATAAATTGTAGCTGGACCTAACTTCGTGTAGATTGTGTTGCTTGTTCGATCATAACCGAGGTCAGCATGCCCACGCCACCATCCAGCCGCAGCAACTCCGCGCACAGAACTTGTCGATGGGTTTCTAATGTGGTCTGCGCAACCATGGCCGCCTCCAATTTGTTGGTGAGTTCCTGGACCTCTTTCAACTCGGTATCGCAAGTAGGAGGTTCAGCATTCAGGCATCGAACACGTTTGTTCAGCTCCAGTTGAAGTGCTCGTAGCTCCTCTTGATTCTGCTCCAACTTCCTATAGATTGACGCTAATCTCCCGTGAATGGCGCTTAACATTTTCTTGTCTTCTGCGAAGTGGCCCGATTCTTTGCCGTTTTCTTGGTATTCGTGAGCGAGTACAGCAGCCAAAGCGCTATCCCGCCGCTGCCTCTCCTGGCTGATACACACGACAAGTTCTTTAATCTGGCTGAGGTGTTCGGATGCATCAGCCGCATCAGTTATCTTACTTGTTCTCATGGCCTTGAGCGACTCCATTACCACCTCTTCGTTCAGCATAATCCGCTCCACCAAACTTGTGTACAAGGTGTCCGATGGACTTCGCGCTCACTTTCATCGATTTCTCCAACATGTCGTTTGCAGTTTGAGAAATGCTGGCACGGGAAGTTTCCTTCAGTTCGCCAGAATCGTCCAAATCGTCGCTATCAGGAACGACCGTCGGCAGGACTTGTCGACCATATTTCTGGCGTCGGGTACCGTCCAGTCGATCCGATTCTACCGACGCACTTCTCTTGAGATCTCGACGAGAATATATTCTTGACGCGCCGCGCTCAGAGCTACTGCTTCGACTAGTGCGACTTCTGCTCCAGCTTCGGCTGAGGCTTCGACTGCGGCTTCTGCTCCGACTTTGAGATCTGCTCCAGCTTCTGGATCGACTACGGTACCTGCTTCGATTTCTACTTGTGCTTCTGCTGCGACTGCGACTGCTCCAGCTTCTACTGCTCCAACTTCTGCTTCGGCTCCTCTTTCGTGCACGTTTTGCCTCAGCAGCTTGCGCCTTCACCACGCGCGTGTACGCAAAACACTGTCGATATCTGCGTTCCTCCTCCGGGTCTTCTCGCAGCATTTCCAGTGTCACGTCTTTCTTGCCCAGCCATCGCTGGAAATTAAGTTCATAGATCAGCTTCGTCTCCCTGGGTCTCAGCACAATGGGTATCCGCTTGAGTCTCCAGCCAGTGTTCAGGTACCCATTCGGCCCGAACTTTGCCATCTTCTCCACAAACTGCTCTACTGTCATCACTTGCTGTGACAGCAGCTCCTCCCGACTCCGAACGCCTTCGTACTTGTCTAGATGATGGGAACTCATCGTGCCAATGCCCTTGCGGCTAAGTGTCCACGCTCTCGAGTCCGCAAAGTCCAGTCGGTATTGACGTTCCACTGCCGGTTCATTGTTGAGCAGCTCGGTCGAGACCTTCCTGTCGAACACCCAGCGCCTGAACTTGGTGTCGTACTGCTCCGTCGTCTCTCCAGGCAACAGCAGCACCGGAATCGGCTTCAGGGTGGACGAACTTTCTCCATTCCTGGCTGTTGCGTCGTCCGTCTTAAATTGATCCAGGGTCACGACCCGGGTGGCCAATAAGCCTTCGGCATCTCGAGGTGGGGAGCGGTTGTTCATTGCGCTGCAACGTCCAACCAGTGCGAATTAAACAGCGGGGGTCACCGTGCCGCCAAAGATCGCCACCTGATGCGTTGTCCGTAGATGCGTTGTCCGTAGTTGCGTCGATGAGAAGACTGCGGCGAGGAAAGTCTGTGAATGACGTTTGAAGGTAAACTGAAAAGCTTTGGTCATTTACCATCTTCTTCGTACTTATCTGGGCCAAAGTATGGCCATGATAAAAAAACACGATTTGCATTGGGGTGTTTTTTTGCGGTATCAGCAGCAAGAGCCGTGGGAATGCTGGGTGGACGGAAGCTCTTCCTCGCCATGCGGCGCAGTCAAGTCCATCGTGGTGGCCTCAAGGACACTGTCGCGAAGGTAACGGCTTCAACTAGGCCAGAAACCGGCTGCGTCCAAATATCTATATCATGATATTTCGGCTCTTAATATCTTTAACGTCTACCTACTAGGACTGCCGAAATTTGACTTTATTATCGTTTGCCCTGCAATAACCCCTACAAAGATATACGCGAGGTACAGGTCTTTCTGACTCCTAGGGTACTGTACGACCGTCGTACAGTGTACGTGTCAGTCACTTCATGAAGCTGGCCAAAATGCGTCACCATTCCTGTCTCTACAGGACGGGCTCAATTCACGCTCTCTGATCGGGTGCCCTGGTCTCCGCAGGCGCAATTCCCATTTCTCCATCGCTCTAGCGGAAGCCTTCGACCGCAGCACTCGCCGAATTCCAGCTCGACAATGACAGTGGCGTCGCTGGTGACGCTGCTACTAGCGATCCTAGTCTTCCAGGCAAGCGCATCGGGCTCCGGTTCGCTCGAAGCCTCAGTAGGCTCCGAACCCAACGCCACCGTGGTCGATACCAACGCCTATGTGGCCACCACCGCACCCCCAGCCCCAGCGTCCACCGAGTCTCAGGTGACGCTGGCGCCCATCGACACGGCGTCGTCCACGTCCTCGACCTTCCAGCTCGTGGACAACGTGGACTGCAACGAGACCGTGTCCGACAAGATCTACGTCATCTACAACAAGAACCGCGCGCTCTTCGACCTGTGCGTGAGCGACGCGCAGTACCAGATCTTCCCCTTCCTGGGCACCAAGCCCTCGGCCGCGCAGGTCGAGTCCATGGCGACGTCCACGTCCTGCGACGTGGTCTTCACGGGCGTCTTGCTCGCCGACTTCCCGCAGTGCCAGATCTCGGGCTTCCCGCTCAAGGCGGCGGTGGAGACGCTGCTCAAGATCCACGTGGACCTCGTCTACGGCTACGCGGCGTCCCCGTCGGCTGAGCGCTTCCAGGAGATGATGTCCTGGCGCCGCTACGTGAACCTCGCCAAGCAGGCGGGCGTGCCCTGCGACTCGGGCTCGGAGCTGTATGCCGAGTACGAGGAGAACCTCGAGGTCGCGCGCACCAACAGCTCCATCCGCGTACTGCCGAACCTCCAGATCGAGTACAAACTCGCCAGCGGATCGTGGTACGACGCCGACGGAGAAGACTATGCCACCATTGACAGCAGCAGCTCGGACAGCGACGATGCCGTCGTGGGCACGGTCGCTGCTGGAGTCGGCAGTGTCGGCGTGGAGGCGAGTAATAGCTCGGCCACAGTCGGCAGCGCCGCGTCGTCGATAGTGAAGAGCGGTGTTGCTACCATGGTTATGAGCTCCGTTCTAGGTGTTTTGCTCATGACATGGGCGTAAGACTCTGTAGTATTTTGCAAATTTGTTGTTATGGTGGACACTTGGTCCTTTCGTCGTGTTCTGATACCATGACGAGATGAAGTGAGCTCTGTGGAATACACCCACAGTGTATTCCAAGTACTAGGACACGATAACGCTACGTCCACATATTATTGAGTTACAGTTGCCGAGTGTGGGGACCGCAATACCGTCGAGCCATTCGGTGTGCAGTCGTCATGATTGGTTTGTTTGCCACGCGTTCTTATCGGACCGATTCGCTGCAGTTGATCGCATTGTCGACTACTAGATCCAGCTCACCATGCGAGCAGGCACTTTAGCTGATAGCCACAGAAGCTGCCAGACGGACTTGACAGGTCGTCGACCACTGACAATATGGTCAAGCTCTAACCTCAATGGCCATCAACGCCTGAATAGGCCATCACTTGAGCTTTTACCCCCAACGGGACTTACGTCGCCGTCCCAACCACGATGAACTTCGTACAACCGATGCTGCGTCTACTTGCTCTCGTAGTGTTGGTCGCCCGGACAAACGCTGAGGATTCCCCGCGGCGCGCAACGTTCGAGCCGAGCCCGATTGCAGTGGCCACCCCGGACTCCAACACGTTCGCGCTCGTCAACAGCACAGAGTGCGACAAGAAAGGGGTCGCCACGCTCTACAAGATCTACGAGCGCAACACCATGGTCTTCCAGACGTGCGTGTCCGACGGCAACTACCAGATCTTCCCGTTCTCTGGAACCTACCCGACGCCCGAGCAGATCGGAAACATGGCACGGTCTCTCGCCTGTCGTGCCATCTTCAGCGCCGCACTTCTCGCAGGGCTTCCGGAGTGCAACATGGGCGGCTTCTCGCTTCGATCCGCCGCTGAAACTCAACTCAAAATTACAGTGGACGTCGCCAACTACCCGCAGAACCCGGACGTGATCCCGAGCACCGACCGGTTCGTCAAGATGATGAACTGGCGGCGCGGTGTCAACCTCGCGGAAGCTGCAGGTCTGCCGTGCGACAACAACTCAAGGCTCTACTCGGACTATGCGAGCAATCTGTACACGATCACGACGGACGGTTTGGTGCGCCTCTCGTCGAGCATGAAGGTGGAATACCGACCGGACGTCAACAGTCCGTTCAGCCAGGAGAAGATCATGGATCATCCAGGTATGCCAATGCTTCGAGGAACCGGTGGGAGCCTCGATGGCAGCGTGGACACTCTCGGGTCGGCTGCGGACGTCGAGTCAACGGGCAGTGATACGATTAATGCTATTACTCCGCAGACTGTCCCAGGCGTTGCGGACGAGTCCAGTGCTATGAGCTGGAGCAAGTCTCGGTTATATGTGGTCATTGCGTCTGTGGCAATACTCGCGCTCGTGTAGCATGGAGAGTGCCGTATATGTCTACTTGATGTCTGTGTAGTAGTAAGTGTAGTTGTCGTTGTGAAGTGGTGCCGTGACAACTCGAGCTGTAGTAGATTGAATACTGCGAATTCAAAAGTCATTTTACGAGTCATTGGCTTTGAGTGAAGTACTTATCCGAAAGGTTCTGTCGAGGCGCTGTAGTAATCGGATAAGTGCGGGCGTCGTTGAAGCACCACCACATCTTTGTGGCGAGGGCGACTCTATCGTGGTCATAAGATTTTCAAGGCCATCGCTTCAGCGGTTTACACCAAGCAGAGAGTATGAAATGCAGATGCTGACGAGAGAGTGCCTCCAGGTGGTCCTCGGTGCACCTTGTCGGGCTAAATACACGCGCTCGGATAGAGTGTTATCATGGTAGAGGGGTCTTGTATTCATTCGCACATCGAGAGACATTCCCTGTTGTGTCAGTTGTCTTTTTTCCGACGGACAAGGCAGCCACCTCCTCGTTTGGCAGTCCAAACGACCTTCAACACTCATGGGTGTATTCAACGCTATCTTCCGCTTGCTGCTCTGCGTGCTCTTCTTCTTGACAGCGGACGCTCAGTATGGTAAATACGGCAAAAGTCCTCGCTTCGATGTAGCCCCGATCGCGTCTCCGGCACCCGATTCCAGTTCGTTTGTTCTCGTCGACGACCAAAGCTGCGACGACTCCGTTGTCGCGGTGGTCTACACGCTCTACACCAAGAACACGATGGTCTTTCAGACCTGCGTGTCCGAAGGCAACTACAGGATCTTCCCCTTCTCCGGCACACACCCGACGACCGAGCAGATTGGAGCTATGGCCACTTCGCTGGCGTGCCGAGCCATCTTCTCGTCCATTCTGCTGGCTGGACTCCCCGAGTGCGAGATCTCCAACTTCCCCATGCGAGCTGCCGCCGAAACTTTGCTCAAGATTGGCGTCGATATCGACAAGAACACGGAAGCAGTCGGAGTCGTTCCGTCTACCGAGAGGTTCCTTGAGATGATGCATTGGCGACGCGACGTGAATCTCGCTCAAGCGTATGGACTCCCGTGCGACTCCGAGTCGCAGCTTTACGCGGAGTACTCCAGCAACCTTTACGCCATCGCGACCAACGGTCTGGTGCGCTTGACGATGGACTTGTTGGTTGAGTACCGGTCGACGTTGGACGGGTCCTTCAGTCAAGAACAGATCGTGACTATGCCCAAGCTGCCAGCTCTGCGTGGAGCCAACAAGATCAAAACCGTTAACGCAGCGGAGGAGCCGTGTGATGACTCAGCGTCGGGTTCAAGCAACAGCGTCGTTGGCGAGGAGCGCACTCGCCAAAGCACGAAAGATCCGGAAGACAAGGACGAAGCCGAGGCGTTTACGACCACAGCCAATGTGACGAGCAACGCCACGCAAACCACGTGGAGTCAAGCTCGAGCGGCTGTGGTCGCCGCCATGCTCGCAATGCTTGTGCTCGCTTAATCAATGTTGGTGCCCGTCCAGTCCAGCCCAGTAAATCCAAATGTTATTGTTGCGTCGAACAGACTTTCGTTGGTGCATTCGCTTTCTCTCGACTAACCGTTAATCAAACGTTGGAGCTGCCGGTCTGTGGTGAACTTACCACTCTCGCCACAGTCTGACAGCTCGTCGGAGCTGCAAGACTCTCGTGTGCATGTACGGTTGCCTTGAAGTACATTTGGGCTGAAAGTTTTCACTAAGGACACATCGAAATTCGTGAAAAAGTGTTGACCACTTGAACTCGGAGCACCGAGTTGGCAGCGCAACGGACAGCATAACGTCGCAGCGGGCAGCGAAAATTGAAGTCCGTTTGATAGACTCATGCCTCAATACTTCTCCTGTTACAATGCGCCCTTGATCAGCGTGCTCTGCTCCCACCAAATGCTCTTGCAGAGGCTGTCTCGGCTCGTACAACGGGGTGGGAAGCAGGTGCTTTGCTTCACGCTCCTGCTGCCTGGACAACTTGGCCCAACGATGGCGCGGCTCGATTCTACTCGGCGGAGGTCCCATCTAATCCACCTTTTCCAATCTCATGCACCGAACAGAGGCAAGGCTCGGCCTCGCCCAAGCCTTTGCCGCACACTTGCAAAGTTTCCATCGACGCTCAATTCCGGCAGCTCATGCGGTCGCCAGCGCTCGCCCTGCTGCTCGTGGCAGCGCTGGGAGCGTTGTCATGCTTGGCCGCGGGTGCTGAGGCCGTATCCCAAGCCGTCGATGTCACGGTCTCCGATACGCAGCCCTTGGTCTCCGATAACCGCGTCACGCGGGACTTGCAGGAGCTGACGGCTATCGCGCAGGCGCAGGTCGGATCCAAGACGTTCGCGTTGGTGGACAGCTACGACTGCGACAACGGCATGGTGACCACCGTGCGGAAGTTCTTCAAGGCCAACGACGATACGTTCGACACGTGCGTGGCCGACAGCGGCTACCAAATGTACCCGTACACGGGCATCGTCCCGGACGCGAAAACCGTGACGGGGCTCATCAACTCGAACGCGTGCATGGGCATCGTCACGGCCGTCGTGCTGCTCAACATGCCTCCGTGCGAGCTCGACGACCTGCCGATGCGCGCCGCGTGCGAGACGATCCTGTACTACTCGATCGCGCTGCGGCACGGCGCTAGCGCGCCGTCGTCCGACCAGTTCAACGAGCTCATGACTTGGCGGCGCGACGTCAACCTCGCCAAAGCCGCCAACAAACCGCACGACGCCAAGTCCGCGACGTACGCGGAGTTCACCAAGAACGTGCGCAAGGCGCTCACCACAAGCAAAGTCACGGTCATGGACAACTTCACGGTCATCCTCGACGACGAAGAAGCGGACTCGATCGAGATGAAGGACGGGAAGCAGCCGTCCTTCGTCTCCACCAACTCGTCCATGGACTACTTCGTGGGCAAGGTCACAGCGGCCGAGAACGGCGTCGACGACGGCCCTGTCAAGGGCGGAACGGCGACGTTGTCGTCCCAGACCGTGGCTGCTACTCAGGAAACCTCAGGTACTTCAAGTGTGACGACCAGCGCCATGACGATCGCAATGTTACTAGTGCTAGCCGTCGCCGGCGTGTAGACTGCCGGGCCCAGCAGTAAGTAAGGTTATCAAGCAGGCAGGCAGCGCGTGCGTGTTGTGCGTACATGTAACAAAATCCAATTCTATTCCAATCAGCACCTTTAAGTCTAGAACTTGGCCTTGCGCTTCAAGCTCAGCTCCTTCTTGGCCTGCTTCTGGTCCTCCTTGGAGAGCACAAGCGGAGCGATCGCCGTGCCAGCACGCTTCATGATCTTGGGCGCCGTCAGCACGTTTGTCACCTGGGACGTGTTCCAGTCGCTGCCCAGCGGGTTGCGCATGGCGGCCTCGTACTCCTCGCGAGACGTGAACGGGTACGGCACGTCCTTCACCGTAAATTTGGCAGCCTTCTTGTCCTTCTTCTCGTTGATCAGCACCTTGTCCATGCGAGCATCCTTGCGGCCAGCCAGAGCCTTCTGCTTGGCCTCACGAGCGATGTCCTTGGCCTTTTGCTCGCGCGCGATCTGACGCTTCGATACCCGGACACCATCACCAGCCCAGCTGCCCCATCCAGACATGCCCACCAGCTTCGCGATCTCAGCACCCTTCTTCGCGTCGGCGTCCTGGCTAGCCAACCGATCCTTCTCCTGGGCCAGCTCGTCCTCCTCATCAGCGACGAACTCGAACGCGCGACGCACCAGCTCGTCCTGTCCAGCGACCTTGTCGTCCTTCTTAGACTTTTTGTTCTTCTTCTTCTTGCCAGCAGTAGTCTGCTCAGGCTTCTCCGTTTCGGTCTTGGACTGGTCCAGCTTCCGCTTCTTCGACGCCTTTGTGGTGCCGTTAGTGAGAGTAGCAATAGCGGAATCGTCCTCGTTGGTCTTCTTCGTGTCCTGCGCAAGGGACTCGATGGCCGCTGCAACGTCAGCCTGCGCACCCGCGTTTTTCTGCTGCGACTTCTTCTTGTTTTTCTTGCGCGACTTGCTCTTCGTAGCCGCGCTAGACAGCCACGGGTTCTCCTCACCCTCGGCAGCTGGTTCCATGTCGGCGTCCTCCGTGTTGGTCTTCGCTTGAGGCTCGGCGGCGGTAGCCTTCTGCATCGGAGCCTTGGCACCAAGCTCCAGCTCCTTGTCCTGCTTCTTGTCACCATTCGCAAGTGAGACACTGTTGCCACCCTCGCCAAGGTCAACAGCAATGGCGCCCGACGCACGCGCCGACACACCACCGCTCATGCTGACGTTAGCAGTCTGCAGCGCGCCACCGGCCAGAGCGCGGTCAACCGCCGCCTTGTCCTGCTCCGTCACCACCACGTTCTTCTTGGCCTTCTTAGCCTTCTTGGCCTTCTTCTGAGCAGCGCCTTCGTCGCTCGAGCTGAGGTAGTCCTCGCCCTCCGACAGGATGCGATCGCCATCCGCGCCGTCACCCGTGCGGATCTCACGAAGCAGCTTCTCGGCCTCAACGCGTGCCTTCTCACGCTGTTTCTCAGCAGCCCGCTGCATGAACTTCATGCCCTGCAGACCGCGCTTCTTGCCGGCCTCGGCGGAGTCCGCGTCGATCTCCGTGACCAGCGCGCTGGCCTGCTTCTCCAGGCGCTTCTGCAGACGAGAGGCAGCGTCGCCCTCCTCATCGTCATCATCGTCGTCCATGTCGTCGTCGTCGCTGTCCACCGCGTTCATCTTGCGGCGCAGCTCCTCACCGCGACGCAGCTGGTCAGCAATAGCGCTGCGCGTAGCATCGTCGGCCTGAATGCCACGACGGAGCTGGTGCTTCACCCACTTGCTGGTGTTGCGGTGCTTGAGCGTCAGGCGCTCCTCGGCGCGCTTCTCCGCGAGCTCCTCGTCGAGCTTGCGCGCCATCTCCGGGTCCAGCGCGCGCAGCTCCTCCCTCTGCTTCTCCATTGCCTTCTTGTCCTGCGCGTTGCGGATCTTGTGGTAGAGCTTGCTCTTGATCTTCTTGACGCGCTTCTGCTTCTGCTCCTCGTAGAACAGCAGCGAGCGGAGCTTGGCCAGCTCCTTCTGGCGCGCGGCCACCTCCGCCGTGGACACGCGCTTGCGCGCGAGCTCCTCTTCTTCGTCTTGCGCGAGCTTCTTGTCGCTCAGGTCTCCGGCCTGCAGCAGCGCGGCGACACTCTTCTCCATGTCCGTCTGCGCCACGAACTTGCTGGCGAGCGCGGCGGGCGTGAGCTTCTCGAGCTTGGGGGCCTGCACGCGCAGGTCCAGCGTCTCCTTGTTCCTGTTGCGGCGCACCACGGGCTCGAAGAGGTCCACCTCCTTGTTCTTCTCGGAGTACGCGAGCTTGCGCTGGGCGCGCGCGTCGTGCACGGGCTCCCAGTTGGCCTGCAGCGTGAGCGTGGTGCCGTCTCCCTCGAGCTCGCGCACCTGCTGGCGCACGCGGCGGAGGTCGAGTCCCGTCTTGGTCTTGCCGTCCGCCTCGTCGTCCTCCTCGGCGCCCTCCGCGCCCGGCTTGGCCGCCTGCGCGCCCAGCAGACTGCCGAGCGTGAGCTCGCCGTCCGTGGAGGCGGAGGCCGCCTGGTTGGCGAACTGCGAGTCGATCTCGTCCAGCTTCTTGCGGCTCTTATGCTGCACGAGGCCGTCCACCATGGCGCCCAAGTTCTTGATCTTCTGCTCGTCATCTTCTTCGTCGTCGTCGCTGGCCGTGGAGAGTCTGGCGGCGGGCGCCGACCCCAGAAGGTCCGACAGGAGGTCGCCTCCTTCATTTTCTTCTTCTTCATCCTCCTCCTCCTCTTCTTCTTTATTGTTCTTGTTGTTGCTCTTGTTCTTGTTGTTGAAGAACATGCCGTAGGCGGCCTCGTCGTCGCTGTCGAAGGCCTCGTCCTCGTCCAGCTCCGAGTCCTCCTGGTCGAACGTCGGCTCCTCGTACTCGAAGACCTCGTCCACGTCCGCGCGCGCGTTCATGGCGCGCTCCTGCTGCGTGGCCTCCTCCTCCTCGTCGCTGAACACGTCGGCCGCGCTGTTCTGCGTGCTGCGCGCCTTGCGCTTGGCCTTCGCCTTGGAGCTGGACTTGGCATTGGTGTTGCTCTTGCTGTTAGTATTGGCGCTGGGCTTGGCGCCGCTGGGCTTCTTGGCCTTGCGCGCAGGAGCTCGGCGGGCCATGGCAGTCAACGTCAGGGAAGTGATGGCCGTGGCTCTTGGCGGCGACGATGCAAGAGGCCGGTGGTTGGCTGCAGACGGAGTTCGCGCTAAGTGCGATTTGGACACATGGGTACATTGGGGTGGTGGACACAATGTGCACCCGTTAGCTACACCGACGGCCGTATCTAAGAAAATAGTTTTACTTGCGGTAGAATTTCTCAGTTAGTCGAGCAATTCCTCGTTGTCACCAAGCAGGCCTGACAACTGGGACGGATGATACGCCTCCTACTGCTGGCTGCAACCCTCCAGTGGGCATCATCAAAATGGGGTTTCATTGGCGCGACAACGTACGATATCACGGCAGCCTACGTCGGCGAGAGCTGCACCAGTACACCGCCATACGCGGTGTATGCGAGGCAAAACGGTGGCTGTGAGGTTGGAGGTTGTTACGGAATGGAGATAAACGAGGTTGCATCAACTACCTGCGGTCGAGACTACCTGCAGTCGATGATTTCGAGTTCATTGGCGGAGCTTGGTCGCGCGTGCGTTTCGACGGATCCGTGGACTCGGCCGAGTGCTGCAGAAGCGCTGTACCAATTGCAAATTGCAATTGCCAAAGAGATAGCATAGGGTGAGGAGGACATGTACCATATCTGCATTCAACCTTGCGAGCTTGCACCAATTGGTTTCCACTGCGACTCCTCCAGTTACGTAGTACTTATCAGCGCATGGTATTCATGGCCCACGGTGTTGCAGTTGATGCCGAAGGATTTACTACCTCTCCGCACTAACGTCACTGTGGTTTCCCTTTGTTCTTTTGAAAAATACGCATTCGTCAACTGTCGACAAGAATTTCTACCCGGCCTAGTTAAAACCACGTCCGGATACCTCGTATTTTTGGTACTAGTATATGTTCTTCTGAACTTAATGCCGGAAGCTCTGGATGTTTTTGAGTAACGGTTGGTGTGGTGGTTGATACATCCTAGGTAGTAGGGTGGATCAGTTTACACTTTGCGTTTTGGAAAGGTCGACTAACTTACAAGTTGTGTCATGCAGGAGTTTCTGGCTCGTCGTCTTCGGCGTGAGAGCGAAGGCATCTTGACCGAGGAGGAGGAGAGCAAATCAGGGTACGACGAAGGCATCGTGAACGCTCGAGAGGCGCTACTGGAGATCGAGTCGGGCTACTCGTGCGTCCCAGGCGAGTTCGGACGCTCCCTGCAGTTCGTGGACCGAGAGTTTCCCCCAGACACGACGTCACTCGCTGGCTGCGCTTGTGAAGTGGAGATCGCGCCGCAGTGGAAGGTTTCGTCGGCTATCAACATCGCCTCGGGGCTGTTTGACGGCGTTACAGACCCGGACGACGTACGCGTCGGTCAACTGGATGATGCGTGGTTGCTGAGTGCGTTGAGCATTGTGGCGGCGTCCGGAGGTGTCGACGACGGCAAGGTGGACCTGCTCATCGACCGGTTGTTCGTGACCAAGCAGACTTCTCTCACGGGCGCGTACGCCCTGCGTCTGTATCAAAACTGTCAATGGGAGACCGTCATCGTGGACGACTACTTCCCAGTGCTTTACGACGCTGCCGAGCGTGAAGCTGCTGGTCTAGAAGCAGATGAAGACGCCGAGCTGTCGGTTAGTGCTGGTGCTGCATTCGCCCACAGTCGCGACTTCGAGGAGCTGTGGGTGCCGCTCGTTGAGAAGGCCTTCGCGAAGTACTACGGCGGGTACGCAGCGCTTGAGCGTGGATACGTCCACCACGCGCTGCGAGTTCTCTCCGGTTGCGAGTGTGAGGAGGTTTTCCTGGCTCCAGCAGCTCGAGGCGCGTTGAAGAAGACGCTGTGGCAGCAGTTGAAGTTGTTCCGGAAGAACCGCTTCCTGCTCGGGGCCGCGTCGTTGCCCAGCGAGCACGCCGACCCAGCTCTGCGCGCGTCCGGCTTGGTCTTCGACGCGTGCTACGTGATCTACGACGTGCGCGATGTAGACGGCGCTCAACTCTTGCAACTGCGAAACCCACCAGGCGATCACCAGGAATGGAAAGGCGACTGGAGCGATGGCTCGCGGCTTTGGACTCGGCGGCTGCGGAAGCGCCTGGGCGTGCGCAAGGGCAACGACACCGGGGACGATAACACGTTCTGAATGAGCTTCGACGACTTCTGCCACGCCTTCCGCGCGCTCTACGTGTGCCGCTACTACGACTCCGACAAATGGACCGTCAAGACGATGGACGCGCGCTTCTCGCGCCAGGACGCCACGGCCAGCGGACTGCCGACGCGGCATAACCCGGGATGTTCAGGATTCGACAACAACCCGCACTTCTCGCTGCGCGTATCGCGTCCAACCGAGGTCATCATCACTGTAACGCAGGTGGACTCACGCGGCATGGCGCCCGTGACGGTGCTACCCATTGCAGTGTACGTCGTCGCGCACCAGGACCAGAAAGATCGGGCCAGGCGAGTCACAGTGCTGAACCAGGACAACGTCACAGCACACAGCGGCGTACCCGCGCGGAACCGAGAGGTGCGCGTGCACTGCGAGCTGGCCGCGCGCACGTACACGCTGCTGGTGGCCGCGTACGTCAGCGGCATGGAGGGTCCATTCCGCGTGCACGTGCAGAGCAACTACCCCGTGGAGCTGCAGCAGTTGTGGCCTGCGGCCTGGAAGACTGGCAACGGCACGATGACCACCACGCCGCCAGGGACGCGGATGGCCGAGAAGGTGAAGCAGACGGTGGCCGAGTCCGCGACGGGGGCCAAGATCCTGGCCAAGACGCACGAGCTGGCGGACAAGATCGCGGCGGGCGCGGCCATCGTCGACAGCGCCATGAGAGACGAGGAGAGCATCTTGCAGGAGCAGCTCGCCAAGCAGCAGCAGGAGGAGGCTGAGGAGGCCGAACGAGAGCAGACCCGACTCACGGGCAAGAAGAAGAAGAAGAAGAAGAAGAAGCAGACCGACCCGGACGCGCCGCAGCCGAGCGCGTGGATCGAGCAATGGGACGAAGGCACCGGCAAGCCCTTCTACTTCAACAAGAAGACGGGCATGTCCTCCTGGGAGAAACCCGACGAATTCTAGCAATGAAGTATTACTAGACCCCCTAGACCCCTGAACCGAGCCTCACCGGGTCAACAAGAATGCCACCGAGGGTTATATGTATGCTTGCTTACGCGTAGGTGCAGGTGCCTCTCAAGGGTGCGCAGCGCCTCGTCGACCGTGATCTGGGGCAACTCCAGTTCGCAAACAGGTAAATCGATCGGGAGCCCCGCGCTCCACTTGATCACATCGTCCACTTCAAGTTCACCATCCTTCCGATCTTTCTTCGGCGACGAGTCGTCGCCAAGCTGCCGGTAGCATTTACATGTATATAGCGGCTCCTTCTCGCGCTGCAACCGCAACTGCACGGCTTTAGACGTACCAAGTCAGTGCCGTATATGTTCTGAGGGTTGACCACCTTGACCAACCCAGGCGAATACATGGTCATCAAGGTCAAGAGTGGTGGCTTGGGAAAATGACAGTCAGGGTAACTAGAGAAAAGGTATCTGGCATGGCATACCGTCAAAGATTACTTTGGGCACTCTTGTTACCATTTGCTAGAAAGGCAAATATGCATTCTTCATGTTAAATGTAGCTCCGTAATTTCAAAAGCTGGAAAATGATCTACTCAAGGCTCAGCTGTCTGATTCAAGAGGAGGGAATTGTAAACCTCGTTGGCTTGCGGTTGGCCCATGTGCTCTTGGCAAAGCTCGTAGGCTGTGGGGCTGCCCGAGGCGGCCAAACAAACAGTTACTCTATCTTCCACACCGAGGCCTGTTGCTCTAATATTCGGTAGGCGAAGAATTAACAGCGGCGATGGTGAGGCTGGGTTAAGGCGGAATAAGCTATTAATAATCCAGCCTGAGTTAGACGGAAACAGAGCGATTGGCGGTTTGCTACCTGCCAATCCATGCCATTCTGCTCGCAAATGCTGATCGCGGGAGTTAGGGAAAGCACTCACAATCATAAGCGGAATTAACACTAAATAAGCGTTGCTCGCCCTTTTATGGATCTAATTCCGCCTGAATTAACAGCTCACCCGCCAAAATAGGTGAAAGGCACAATACGTCTTTTCGATACCGTATTAGGGGTTCTCACGGTTGGTAGGTTAGTCTTTGAAGCCGGTTAGCAGCCGTTAGATCTCAGTAGTTGAGCGGTTCTAAAACTACCCTAATATCGAAAAGTCGTGGCTCTCGCTTCAAAGGACGGCTTTCAGCGTCATTGGATGCTTCATGTTGCTCCCTCATGCACTGTATTGGCAGTGAGGCGCAAGCACACCCTGAATAAGCTCTAGGAAAGGAAGGCTGGCTGGTGAACTACGCAAGCCATCCCAACTGAAATACCTAATTATGATACTACCGTACCTCACAGAAATAATGGTTAACAGATAGAATGCCAAAACACGATTTTAGAGCATTTGGTTTCGTTTCATTGCATTTTCTTTTAAGAAAATACAAAGAAAGCATTTTCAAATCGCTGGTTAGCATAAAATTTGAATTGTTTGAGCGGCCGCGGTGGGACGACCCGGAATTAACATGGGAATTATTTAATAGATAACTCAGGGCATATTGCCGCTTGCAAATACTTTGCCCTCTAAAATAGACCACGCCTGTCTCTTAATATGAGCGGACACGAGATAGGCGAGGGCTGATTTAGCTTTATGCTTTGGTGGGGGCCGCATTTACATGTAGGCCCAGAACTCGGTTTGGCCCGTCTAGAATGGCATTTCTGCGTTTCCAAGTCGTAGCAAAGCGTGAAACAGACCCCAACCTTGCATCTTAGACCTGTACTGGCGACTCGCCAGTGGCGATATATATAAATCAGACATAGGTCTTAATTAAGAGCTTGCAAGATTAAAATCGAGATTATTAACGAGATAATAAGCATGCGTTGGCCAAAATCAAAATATCTGCAAACGGCAATAATTAGGCATTCTAGAATCTGCCGGCTCGAGGAAAGATGGCGAAGCTCTTCTGTGCGATCGTTGGCGTGGCGGGCAGCGCGTTCTCGGTGCGAGTGGATGAGAGCGACACGGTGGACGACTTGAAGGACGCGATCAAGGCGAAGAAGCCGAACGACTTCAAGGACATCGACGCAGACAAGCTGCAGCTCTTCCTGGCGAAGAAAGACGAGGGCCGCGGCGCGTGGCTGACGGAGGCAGACGTGAAGAAGGGTGTGAAGGACACCACTGGCCTGAAGCTGTTGGATAAGGCGCGAGCGAGGCTACGGCGTGTGGGGTTGTCGGACAAGGATGTCGGTGGAGTGGATGAAGAAGAAGAAGCAGAAGGGAGAGGCCCTGTGAACGTGCTGGTGGAAGTTCCGGAGGGGGGGAAACGCAATCGGTCGGATGAGTGGTTCGGGGAGACCTCCCACCCGATGAAGAAGCGCCGAGTGGATGCGGGAGTGGACGAGGAGAGGAGATTCTTCGACATGAGAGACTTCCCTCCGCTGCTGGCGCACCCCAAGGTGGAATTCAAAACGATCGTGGAGAGGAAGGCGTATCTTGTGATTTTCGCTCAGTTGATGGATTACGCGAAATCATGCTTCGAATACGTCCCAACCAGTGCGAGCGAGCCAGACAAGAAAAGTAAACCCGGCAAAGATTCCAACGTGATAGTCACGGGGAACCCTGGGACTGGGAAGAGTCGCTTCTTTCTGTATTGCATCTTTCAACTCGTTCGTCGTGAGCGAGATGATGTCAAACAGCTTCCCCCGTACGAGTTGGTGCTGAACTACGGCAGCACGTTTTACAAGTACGATGCAACAAAAGATGAATTTGTCGAGTTGGACGGAGAAAGTGTTGAGTTGCTTCGGACACAACCTCGTGTTCTCCGTCTTGTCGAGGCAGCATCAACACACCTTTCTGGCTGGAAAGGAGTTTCGGTTTTGTTTGCTTCTCCGGGTGCTGAAGGCGTGAATGATTTCGAAAAAGTGGACGGATTGACGTATATCATGCCGACGTGGACCTTGGAGGAGCTGGCAGAATACAACTCATTGCTTCCAGATGACTTGAAACTCGCCGAAGACGTTTTGGTTTCGAGATTCGACACGTTTGGTGGAGTTCCGCGGTTCATCTTCGCGCAGGCGAGGGGTGAAACCATGGCTAAACTGCACAAAGCGATCAAATCATTCAGTGCACTGAAAATCATCTCCTATTGCAAAGAAAATGCTGCTGTAATGGAGAACAACTATAGCCACTGCGTTCTTCAGATGATTCCCACGCAAGACAACTACCGCGCGAACTTCCATTTGGATTTTCTGTCCATGCACGTCGCCGATGCGATTATTGACAAAGTGCACGGGGAAAGTCTGGCAAGGGTCTCGGAGTTCGCTATTCTGCACGATGCTGATGATTCGGGAAGTACAGCTGTCATTCGTGGCAAGATGTACGAGCTACTCTGCCACAAATGGCTTAGCCTGCAGAAGGAGAGAACGTTGCACTTCCGCTCGTTGTGCTCGACGACTATGGGAGATTTGACTATTCCGAAAGAGATGCAAACGGTACGCTTCGCTGTTCTCGACAAAGTTAAACTCGCTAAGAGCTGGACGTACTACCGGCCAACATCTAAAACGTTTGGAGCGCTGGATGCATTCATCTGGGATGGATCCAGCAAATGCTACGGGTTGCAGATGACACTGAACGAGAACCATGGAATCAACGCTGCGCCGCTAAACAAATTTCTCGAGTGGCTACAGAAAGCTGGCGTGAGTGCAGACCACTTCTACTTCACGTTCCTGGTTCCAAGTAACATTGCAACCTCATACAAGAAGCAATCAGCAAGGACGGCGACTGGTGCAGTCAGCAAAGCCCCTGGAGCTGCCGCGGGGGTGAATCAGTTTGTGGCTGTGCTGGACGTGACTGGTAGGGACGAATGAATATTGTTGCGCACTTCTGGCTTGAAGAGGACTAGTGACCAAGTTCATGCGGACCTACGAGCGGGTGCTGGAGGCGAAGAACAGGCTGGAAGTGGGCTGGCACCTACTGTCGCGATACTTGTCGCGGCTCGCGGGTTCCGCTGGAGACCAAGTTCTGCTGCAGCTTCGTTTGTCGCGCGCAGCCCTCTGTCGAAAGGCTGCGGTTTCAGCATTGAGCGCGCTCAAGTCGGCGATGTCCTCATCACCCCGCAACCTGCAAACGAAACCGCGAACTTCGTGCTGCACCTGATTGAGTTCACTCGATCCGCGGGCACCACTGGAACGAATACGTGCGTTTCACAAGCGCCGAGTTCACGGACCTATAGACGGCATGCTACGGCCTGCTAGATATTACTACAGTAGAGCGCACTGCGCCTGCAGCTAAGTTATGATTTGACTTACTTAGTAATACGACTTATTGTCGCTTTCAAGGATTTTGCGCACTCTATTATAACTCGTCTTCGCGGTGTCACAAAGCTTGTACTGGGGCTCCGTATTTCGTCAATGTTCGCAACGGCGGTGACACTTGCTCCAACGAGACGTGCGTAGTCGACCCTCTCTCGGACTCGTCGGGCTCGGGGGAAGTAGACCGAGTCTCGATTCTGTGCGTCTCGGACTTCCTGGCGGGGATGAAGGAGCTTTTCGGCAGAGCGGACTATCTACTGCGGGTCAGTTTCATGGACCTCAATTGCACGTACCTCGACTTCGGCTCGGGGTATTCCGCTACGACGGACTGCGTGGGGGCTACGACGAATCGGGTGGTGCCTTTTACTACAAGAACTTCCTGCATACGAACGAGACGGCAACTCTTGAGGACTACAACAACTCGGCTTGCTCTTCGAGCAGCCTGACCTCTAGAGAATACGTCAACCACACCTCTCTGGTCGACCACACGTGCGAAACGAATGGCTACCGATGGTACAGCAGCATCGACGACGACGCGTCCGGGTCAACAGAGACAGAGAGTTCCTCCTTCTCCAGCAACGGATCCACCGCTGGTGCTTATTCCCCCATCGACTCAAGCTCAAGCGACTCCATCTCAACTGCAGTTGACAGCTCTGGAAGTAGCTCGGGTACTGTCATTGGGGTCATTGTCGGGATCATCGTCGTAATTGCAGCAATTGTCGCGATTATTTTCTTCCGACGCCGAAACAAAGAGAAGTATCAGGACAGTCAAGCGGGGCGGACAGGCAGCGGCACCTCTTCGCTTGAAGCAGTAGCAAATGGACAGCGAGGTCTGTGGGACGACGATGTGATGATCACAGCCAAGCGGATCCCGAGAGACAAACTCAAGGTGAAGAAGCTCCTCAGTCGCGGGGCGTATGGCGAGGTGTACTCGGGTGTCTTCAACAAGCAGCAAGTCGCCATCAAGATGCTAATCCCCGCTACGCGCGCCAGTATTCAACACGTTAATGCGTTTCTCGCTGAAGCCAAAATGACGGCAGTCATGAATCATCCGCACGTCGTGTCCTTCATCGGTGTTGCGTGGGATTCGCTCTCGGATTTGTGCGTAGTGCTTGAGTTCATGGATGGTGGAGACCTGCGCACTCTGCTGGACAAGTACATCACCTCGAAGCACGCTGGCGGCTTCGACCGGCAGAAGGCCACCATCGCGCTCCACGTTTGCCACGCGCTGACGTACCTCCACTTGCTTGCACCGCCCGTCATCCACCGAGATCTCAAGTCGCGCAACGTGCTACTCAGCAGGACTATGGAGGCCAAGCTCACAGATTTTGGGATTTCTCGAGAACGAATAGACCGAACGATGACTGCGGGGGTTGGTACTTCGCTGTGGATGGCTCCTGAGGTGATGCTGGGCGAGAGATACGACGTGAAGGCTGACATGTTCTCGTTTGGGGTGGTGTTGTCCGAGCTGGACAGCCACACGCTGCCGTACGCTCAGACGAATAAGAAAACTCGTGAAACGGAGGGCCGTCAGCTCACGGATGCGCCTTTGCTGCAGAGAGTGGCGACGGGCTCTGTCCGCGTGGAGTTTTCCGAGGCGAATGTGGAATCGATCACGGAGCTGGGCAATGCTTGTGTTTCTGTCGATCCGTACAATCGTCCTAGCGCAGCCGAAGCTTTGTACAAGCTTCAGGTAGTGCTGGCGCAGGAGTTGGCATGACACTAAAAAGTTACTTTATACCACTACGGTATACTTAAGTACCGACCACTACTCGTATATTAACAGGGGTTAAAAGCCGAAAGTCTAACGCAACTAAAACGATAGTTTTAGATGATCGGCCACGACGTCGTACTTCGTCGCGTCAACGAGAGTCGATATCGATTAAATGACGATGATCAGCATACGCCACCCGCAGAACCGCATCGGGCACGGTCTACGCGAGGCCGAATTGCGAGTGTTGCATATATGGACAAAGGTACTCATGCATTAACCAGTAGATCCAACAGAAACTAGCTGAAAGATCGTGCGGCTGTTTTCGGATTAAGATTTTTCTGCGTGCGCAAATGAAGTCCACGAGGTGGACACAGACTCGGGGTGTGGGAAAACAGAGTGCTCCCGGCTTAAAGACGGAGTCCGACCGTCAGCGCTAACATGGTGAGTTTGACGTGCACGTTGTACTACTGTACAGTCGGTGATGCGGCAATTGTTGGCAGTCTCCGCACATTCAAGATCAAAACAGCTATCCAGCATGGCAAGCTACACGGGATCGTGCTACAAGAACCAGAGCAACTACGCCATTGGGAAGTTGAACACGACCGACGGATCTGCTTCGCTGCAAATATTGAACGAGATGAAGTGCCTGTCGACCTCGTTGTTCGATACATTTGCCGCCGCCAAGGACACACTTGATAGCCACTCAAGTTGAATTCGACACACGGTCTCTCTTCACGTGTGTCACGAGCCTGCACTCCCTCGCTTCACCGGTGATCCACCGCGACCTCGAACCGCGCAATAATTTGCCCAATCAGGCCATGGAAGCCAAGGTGACCGACTTCGGTATCTCGAAGGAACGCTTGGACCAGAGAATGACGGCGGGTGTTGGAACGTTGTTCTGGATGGTGCCTGAGGTCATGTGGGGTGGGGGCAGTACGACGATAAGGTCGACTTTTTTTTCGTTTGGAGTGGTGCTGTCGGAGCTGGGTGTGCACACGTTCCCGTACGCACGGACGACGAAGCAGCCAAATGGGAGCCAAGTGCACGCCCGAGTCCAGCTGAAGCGTTGTACAGGCTTCAAGTTTTAATAGCACAGGATCTGGCGTGAGTAAATTTATGTGAAAAGAAGGCAATTCAACATATCCAATATACTTCAAGCAAAGTATCGTGCATTGACCGTTCTGCATTTTCTGCATACAGCGCTTGTACCTATATGCGACTATGAACGCGGTTGGCAGCGGTGTCTAGACGATCGTTGTACTCCTTGTCATTTTGCTTCCACCGTTATACATCTTGATAAACGTGCTGAGAATTTCATCCTTTCGACCGCGCTCCGTTTTCAGGGCCGTACTGTGTGGGATGCCTAGCAGTCTTCTGATACTGGTTGGGGTTTCCTTCTGGTCGATCCACAGCTTGAGCTGGTAGTTCTGCATGGTTTCAGCCAAATTTCTCACATCGGGGATTTGTTTGAGCGATTCGAAGGTGATGGCCAGCTTATCTTCCGGGACTTTACTGCGCAACAGCGTGTAGATATCATAATTGGGGGAACTACCAGCCCCCTTCTTGTCCCTGAACGCCTTGGTGAATCGAAACCATTGGATCGTTCGCTTGCTGTTGTCGATTTTCGCCCAGGTGTTGAAGATGTCCAGATACTTGAACATGAACTTTGGATTCTTACCATTATAGATCCAGACTTTCTGAGCAAGTTGCATGTCAAGCTTCTGAAACTTCGACGTCTTCTTGTCCAATTCCGCAAGTCTCGACACCCACGCCCCGCTGCTTACCCTCTCCTCATCTGCATTGCTGATGTTGCCCACGTCCGCGGATTCGTGCACTCGTAAAACTCTTACACTATCGTCTGAAGCGAGAGCGTTCTTCGAGCGAATGGAGGTTTCGGAGGAGTTAACTCCCGCACTGTAGATACTGACAAGCAGCCACAGGATGCACAGCGTGCCCATTAGCACCCTCGCTTCGATTCTTCGTCAGTTGGTGAAGGGAAAAGAAATGAGAGATTTCTGCCGCTCTGCCACCACCCAAGCTCGACTGCGGATTAAAGAGCGATTTACCTTTTACAAAATCTAAGTGTGTCCAGTTTGTGGTAATAGTCATTCTCGTCTACTTGGTTATCCTGGATTGCGAGCCAAAATATGCCAATCGCACAAGAACAAGTTACTTCAAGTACTTTTTGTTGGGTTGGCGACCTCGATGTAAAATAATAGTCTGAAGCCCTCGCAGTGCTCTTTTTGACCAAAGAATGCACGGCCGCCGCTGTACCATTATTTATGGTACCGCGAAAACTCCTTGCAGGGCGCACCGCAGTAGCCGCATGTGCGACGCGCTTAAGTCGCTGGCCCTATGATCTAGACAAGCTATCCCAGCCCTAGTTTGGTATACCCAGAGTAACACGCTGGTCGTCGCCCAAGTGGAGTTTACGCTTTCATTGCGGTGCAAGCGAACGCACTTGCACTGTGCGAGTTGCTCTAGATAAACGTGATGGAGTCATTAACTGGTGCATTTCCTTTGAACCGGTACGATTCCGGTGGTGCACTGGGCCGCGTGGGCAGATCGAATCGGTAGGATACTCATCACATTGGTATGACCCCAGTCGCACTGGGCCCTCCAAAAGGTTTATATGCGTGGGCAGATCGAACCGGTGCATGGTATGAATCAGTATATGTATTGACATGTGAGTTGGGTACGGATGAACGAGATCACGAGGCGGACTGTACAATATCACTAAACGTAAGCATTTATAATTTCTTCAAGCTCCAAACAAGCATTGCCGGTTGACAGTTGGAACTAGCAAATTTCCGGGCAGATACTGCGGCTGGATACGAAAAATAAAATAAAAATAAATAAAAAAGGGTTTTGTACCAAAATTATCCTATCCCGGCCTTCGCGGAGCCCTAGTTAAGAATTTCAAAGCGTTTTTTTCTGGAGCATATAAACAGGTTAGACTCATTTTGGTTCCCAAAAACATGACTCATAAAAACCTTGTTTGCATATAAGCTGACACTATACTATAAGTACAAAAAGTAAGTCAAACTTTTGGTTCCGCTAAAACCTGAATCATTTAAACGGTTTGACTGTATCCATATTCTTTTAAAAATGATTGATAGCAAAATATCTAAATTTGGTTAAAATTAAATCGAAAGATATTATGTTTATCACAATATATTATATTTGTATTAAAAATACATGTACACCGTTCACCCTAATTAGTCGTGTGACCGAAATAGTCGTGCTTCTTTGGTAATCATTCCACCGGTTTTGAAAATTATTTTTAGTTTCACCTTAAATTGAGAAAAGAGGCCGGTTTCGGGTAGATCTCGGCAATACGAATTGCGTGATCTGGTTTGTTTTCAGTAAAAACGAATTGTTTCCGAGAAAACTGAAATTCAAAACAGGGTGAGGCGCTCGTAGACGGTAAATAGTCATGGCACGACTAATTAGGGTGAACGGTGTACTCTTCCGGCGCTGAGGCGTAGGTAGTTCTGACCCTTACTTGAACAGGCGGCGTGTTCACAGATGTGGTTGAACTACCACAACCTCAACAAAAAGTATCTTTCACTATTGGTCCCGTTTGTCACAATTTGTTGTGTAGTTCATGATTCTAACTAGTACAGGCCCAGCGAGCTCATTGCTGAGGTAAACTTATCGATATTGAACATCTTGAGGTGAAAATTAAATGTGGCCGCTTTGCATGTGTCGAACCTATAGATGGCGTGAAAAAAAGTTCGTAAAATTGCAAAATTAAGCGATTCCTCGTTCATACCTACCAGGAGGATACATAAATGTTGGTGCAAATGGAGCATTGCCCTTCTAAATAGGGGGGGGGGCGCATTCTGCTCTGTTTCCCTACTGAAGCTACAACTTTCGTTACCACACGTGCGGTGCAGTCCAAACTTGGGTCATTTTTTGGTGGTGAAGAGATTCTCTATTTACGTTAATAGCTAACTATAGAGACCTGGATTAAAGGCAGTGCCTACTTGGTCACGGTGGGCGCAGTTCTTGGGGGCTTGATGCCGGATTTCGGATGGCTTTGTGCCGAATTTCTGGGTTTCTGGTGGCTTGATGCCGGTTTTCTTGGTGGTGCTTGAAATGTTTGGACAGAGAGGTCACCAGTCTCCCATGCTGCAAAGTCCATCCTTGTTCTCCTCTTGCCAGCCGCACATCGCCGTCAACACGTCCGAGGAGGTCGTCTTAGGTTGGCCGCTGCCTTGCAGCTGACGCACGTCGCGCGGGGACAGGGGGCAGAAGACCCGGAGGCCGGAACCGTTCACCAAATGTCGGATTTACCCGGTCTAGAACGAGATTTGCGTGGCCCTGCCATCTTCCGATCGCCGAAGTTGACAAACTTGACTCTCTTGTCGACCTTGGAGAAGACGTCACGAACGCAGAACTGGGTCCATTTCAGCCGAGAGCGGAGCTGGGAACAAATACAAGCCGGAAAGCTGGATCTTACGGAGCGCGATCTCCACATAGTTCACCACCGCCGGGCGACGTCCGCCGAAGCGGTCGCCACGAGTGCTTGCTGGGATGAGAGGAGTCCTTGGAGCTCCGATGGTGCTCGACTTGAGCGCGAATGTGCACCTGGTCCTTGCGCTTTGGTAAGATACATTCAGCAATGAAGGGTTTGCCCGGATCTCCATGCCTAGGCGGCGAGATCTTGAACGCGAGGCGTCCGCCTGGTTCGTCGCGTCTCGGTCTTACTTGGTGCAGCGTAGTTGTTGATAATCTTGGTGGCAGTCGCCAAGCACGGGGCTGGTCCCGCGCTCGGCGCTCAGGAACGCCCCATCTCGCATTCTCGGCCCCACGCGGGGGGACTCCATCCGAGAAGAGAGATCCTCCGAAGAGGCGCTGGAGGAGTCCCTGAAACCACTTGTGCCAAACGGCGCGAAAAGGGAAGTGAAGCTTGGGTCATTTTTCCTTACAGGAACGCGGTATCAACCCGCCCCGCACTCTCGCAGTTCTCACCGAGAACGTCAGCGATAGCCACAGACTTCGCCAACACTCTACTAAAATCCGCTCGATCATCCGTAGCTGCGCCAGCCCCACTGTTGTTGTACTTCTCGAAGTAAATGTTGGCGGTGTTGTTGTCTTGGAGGAGCCCGACGGAGGTCATTGACAGGTCAGATCAACTGCAGGTCAACCGACAGAACACACCATATGATGATTACTTTGTAAAAACGAGATGGCATAATACAACAGTTGCTACTGCTAGTGCGAATCAGCACATATACAACGACAGGACCTAAATATCGACGGAAGGAATACGTCCATTTCCCCGTCATGTCATCAAACAAAGCAGATTGGTTTAGTAATTCATTCATTAATGACTCTATGCATTGACGCCTCCGGCATCTTTAATTGTTCGAGTCATTGTCTAACTCGAAGGAGTAGTTGCTATGGCTTAATTCTGCTTGCCGAAATACCGTTTGTTCGGGTTCAAGATGCTGGGATCAGGATCTTCGTAGTCACCTTTTGACGCGAGGTACTGCACAGCGGAAGCCAGTGCACTGTCGTATTGCGCCTTAGCCTGCATGATTCTGCTTTTTGCAAACTCCTCTGACGGGGCGTCGCTTGTATAGTCTGGCTCTGGAGGCATTTCAGCAGTGGACATTGCCCCTGCTAAAACGTCTGAAACCCTGGTGCATACAGCACGGAACGCATCCTGGCTTGAGCGTGGTTGATCTCTGGAATGCGCGAGCAGGATAGCACTTTGGACTCCTTCGACAAGAGCCTCGACGACGCCAGCCATGTTTCCGCGGTTGTAGGCCGTATTGAGACGAAGGTTTTCCTCTTCACACTTGACGTCGAGGTATCGCGACTTGCTCTTCGCGAGGGCGGTGAGGTGCCTTTGCTTGTCGGTATCGTTTGCAGCTAAAGTTGCGGCGCTTGTGCCGCTTCTCACTAAAGCATCCGGATCGGTACTGCGTAGCTCCTGTACGCGTTTGCGCTCGTCGAGAACACCGTCAGTGCCTTGGGGAAAGCTCGGGTCCGGATACATCCCCATGAGCTGCTCGCGTTCCTGTATCGGCAAAGCAAACCATGCATTGCGCATCCGAGCCCCACCTCGGCCTGTAAGCCACGCAGTATCCCGTTTGCTTTTCGTGACCCCTTTTGGCTTATTACGCTTCGCGACATAAGCCTTCGCGCGCTTGGTCCCTCTAGTTTCGGCGAAGTGCCACACCGCTCGGTGAACCGTCATCGTGCCCGCTCTAAGCAAAATGCTGAATGAGCCACCGATACTTTCTTTTAGGGTGTACGGAGATCCTTATTGTGTGCTAATTATACGTATCGCAGGAATAGCTAAGATTTCCGACTAAAATAAGCTACCGTCTCTTGTTATCGCTGCACTATGAAGCTTGTATGAAGCTTGATGTCAATTATATACTTAGAAGCGACTTCGATGCACGACGTATAAGTTTAGCCCAAGTGACTTTCTGCCAAGACCATTTATGTTCAGCATACCTAGCAAGATCATAAAGTCAGATATCTGACTTTAATTATAACACATCTTCACATTCTGATCAAGTCATAATTCCGCGAAACGATAACATTATATGCTGTGTTCATCACTGGGAACAAATCATAATTCAGCCAAAGTACAAAAGCAGTTACTTGGTTTTGGAGCGCTTACTTTCCTCAATCGCGTACACCTTTCCAATTCGCCTGAAGAAGAAGTGCAGATTCTCTTCGGTACTCTCGTATTTCCCCCATGTATCCGAGTCGATGAGCCAGTAGCGGTCGCCCACCTTTACACGCGCGACTGCGTGGAAGACACCATTTTGTTGTCCAGGTGGGATGCCGACGATGTACAACCGACGGCGCGTTGACTCCGTAATTGCCTTGAATAAATATCGGCGCGGCACGTGGAGCTCCTTTGCTGGGCGGGATATGTTGACCATGTCGTAGTGCTTCAGGCGTAGGGCGTATTGGAGGGCGTCGATAGAGTATGCGCCAGTTAACCAGTTTCCGTGGAAGGAGGGGGTTTTCTTGGAGAGGCGGAGCTTTTCCTTCGATAGCCGCAGCTTGCGCAATACGTGTTTCAAGTCCTCTTCGTCCACAAAGTCTCGGATCTGCATACAGTTGTTAACTGCAAATAAGCCGCAAAACGAGTAGCACTCGGGCATATCACTTTGGTTTTGGCAGACAACATCTACCCCTCCACTACGCGTACGCATACCGACCACTTACTATGATGGCTACGCTGGAGAGTCCTTCTGCCGGAACAGTTCTCAAAATAAGTCGAAGTGTCCAGCAAATAGCCTAGCAAGCGGCGGCTGGCACAAAAGCGTATAGTGAAGGGTGAGTCCTGACCTGTAACCTCGTGCCTCCCCTTGTGCGCGGTGCTTGGAAATGAAGAATGAGCTAGCCTCGAAGTAGGGATAGTCTCGACGAAAAAGCTAAGAAATGCGCTAATTCAACATGGGACGTGGCGCACTTTAAAGTTAAATTTTCCACAGGTCAGATTATATGCACAGCATCTTCTGTCTCGCTGCCCTGGTATCCGTACCTCACAGAGCACCGACCTCAGCCAACAGGTAACACGGCTAGGAACTCACCAGGTTTCTCATGGCCCGCATTACTGGGGAGCCACTCGCTACAATACAGTTCTAGCAGCGCTTTTATCTGGTCCACTGCACCGCATTCACACTTGCCTGTAGTGATCAAAGCATTACCTCCAGACAACTACTAAAAATTGCGCGGTTATCACTATAACATGCTTCTCCAAACGTGCCTCGACTTACCAACCGACAATCGCTTCAGACCAGACAGCACAACCGCCGAGCTCGAGGCACACACTTTGCTTGACCATGGGCTTCAAAATCGCAGCGTGAGAGTGCCTCTAGGTAAGGCGATACACGTCCATCCACCGGCTTGCGTTGTGGTACTGTCCTTCTTCAGTTTGCTAACGCCATATTGGCGGCCAATGTGTCTACTTGCAGACAGATGTGATTGGCACAATGCCATCTGCCGTTTGTAATTGACAGAAGTCCGAGTTGACCAAAATTGACCTGACCTGGCGACGACCTCAATCGGAGGCTACCGTTGTCTTCCCACAACTCCCAGCCAGCAGGGTTGACAACTTTGACAAGTTTACTGTTCTGAAAGACGACACGGGCGTAGGGCTGCCACGGGCGACCGAGGTAGACTGATCCAGGTTTAGCCGTGCCGGACACGTGCGCGTTGTTGAAGACGTACTGGGACGGGTTGGTGTCGGAGTCACGGCCATTAGCCGTGATATGACCCGCATCGATCGACACGATGTCACACGACTCGAACCATGCACTCGCGTACTGCCCGAAGATGAAGTCTTCCACACCGCTGATGTACGACTTGGCGTACAGATTGGCGCCCTTGTTCGCGTAAAGCGCGTCCTGAAAAAAACATGTTGTTAGCATTTTAGTCAACTGACAACAATGAACTTGAGATCCAAGATCAACAATAGAAAAAAAGTACCCGATAGCCCGTGAAGTAGCAAGCGTAGAAGCCGGAATTGGTGCCGACAACCGAGACGGCGTTGATCTTGCCTGCCATGTTGGCGATATTAAGGTTGCCGATCTTGACGTTGTCCGTCCGGAGGTGCAACGTAGTGGTGAAGTCGTTGCGGTCCTTCGAAATCGAGGCAGGATTGTCCTTCTGGGCCAAAGCGTGAGAGATGGTCACCTCGTTGGTAGTGTACGATGTGGTATCACATCCGATTAGCTTCGATATGATCACTTGCTCTTCGTATACGCCAGGGAAGACGAAGAGCGTGTGCTCCGCCGTTGTGTTGGGCAGCTTGGCGACACCGTCCGCTACGGTGCGGACGCTGCCGCTGTGCGCTCCAGCCGCGTCAACGATGATGGCTCCAGCTGGAGGTTTGGTACGGGCGTTGGGCCCACTGCACGCACCGACGAGAGGAGCAATAATTTGCATGATCGTGTCGAGTTGGTTTGAGCGTGATGGGGGGAGGGGGTCTCAAAGTGAAGTGTTTGCTTGGAAAAACCATCAACTCCAAGTACTGATCAGCCCTCTACACGGTGTTTTGGTACAATCTGAACCGCGATTACTCTCAAGTTGACCTTGAAATGGTGTATTCGGGCTAGATTGGACGAAGTACACATCACTCCGGGATTAATGATGGGATACGAAACAAGTTGTGTATTATTGCTCCATCGAATGACAATTGACCAGCGGATATGACAGGGTATTTAAAACCGTTGTACTTAAGTACGCATTACCAAAATGTTAGCTAACTTTCAAGAATCACCGTTTGAGCCAGGTGCTCAAGGAGAACAGTCAAAGCGATAGTCCAAGTACCGGTACAAAAAATACAGTGAATGATCTCGCTCGAAAGACTCACAGTATAATCACTTATCACTACTATTTCCTTTTCTGCGGTCTATGGCCTTTGAAATATTCGTTGCAGCTTACATTCGGGACCTGGTGCTTCTACGATCAACTGATCAGGGCACACCTCATCGTCAAAGATGGAGTGGACTTATGCGGCTCGTACGTATGTACACCATGCTGTACCAGATACAGTTCGAGATTTACCATCCAGTGCTTGGCTTTCAACGGTTCACGTAAGCTAACATAATGCCACGTACCATAATCATCGTCTGAACGTCGAGCGCAGAGCTCTTTTACATGCTGTTGAAGTAACTATAGACTCATTTTGGGTCTCGTTAGCTTCGATTCGGCATCCCAATAGGTGTACTACAGGGTGCCGCTGTTTTCTTAACCCTATAGTGGTTGGTGGTCCTAAAACTTTGCAACATGCTTGGTTTTACAAATTTAATCCAATCAAATTACCCCTCTATTGATTTTGACCTATTATATCCCTTGCGTAAAACCAAGCATATTGCGAGGTTTTACAACAATAATTGCAATAATTTTTGGAAAACTCCTGCAGAATGATATATTATGCTGCGGAGTGCGGCGCAAAACCAAGCATTTATGCATGTTTTATACTTTACTATAGCGACTTCAGTATACAAAATGCAAGTATTTTGTATACTGAAGTCTTAAGTGCCACACGACAGCGCTGACCATAACATACCATTCAGGAATATCGATGCTAGCAGACGCTGATTCTTCCCACTCTAAAACCTGTGAAATAACAGATGCGTGCTCAAAAGCTGTCGCCGACAGATACACAATGTGAGCGACGTAGCTAATGGCAGAGAGTTGGTGATTCGACTTTTACGCCGAATAACAGAAAATATCTGTTGTAGACAAATTGGGCGCCAGTTGCTATTGCGTGTAGAAATATACGTGTACTTGAAGTTGTCTGCAAAATGAACAATGGTAAAGGTAGTGTTCGCGCAAACACTAACTGTATAGCTAACATTAGTGCTTGCAAACTGTTTTTTTAGTGTGTTGTAAATCTGGCTTACATGTTTGTGGAGTTAGACAATTTTTAACTATTTATCTTGAGCTAAGAAGAATTGAGGCTCTTTTCACTGGTCGGAAGCTGACTTGCATGCGACGGTCTCCTTCTTTACACCAGCCATAATCTCTTCAAACTCACAGCTTCCCACATTTTTGGGCGTGCCCGGTGGCCCGAAGAACCTGGGATTGCTTCCGGGAAGGCTGGATGAAGCTAAATGGAGGCCCAGCCATTGGGTCGGTATCTGAAAGGTTTACTTTATAGCTTAAACTACCCCCAGAAGGACTGCGAGCCCAGGTTGAGCGCAATGCTAAGACGGGGGGAGGGCTGGCGCAAGGTTCACTGGGGCTGGTGGCAGAAATCGCAAATAATTACGGGAGAGCAGGTGTGACGGCTACAATTGGAGTTATCTGGCGCTGTAAGCTGGATGCACTTTACCCCAGCGCTACAGCATCAGAGGGCGTGCGCATGAACCGAAGTTTGGAGGAGATGACGCGCTGCATGCTCTACCATGACGGAATCGACAAGAAGTGGTGAGCGGAATCTATCAACACGGCTGCGTGGATCATGAACCGGATCCCAAATTCTGTGACCGTGAAGACACCCCACGAGATCGTGCACCGAACCAAGCCTCAACTGAAGAACATGAAGGTGTTTGGTGCACTTGGCTACGCCCATGTTGCCGACGAGAAGCACCGGAAGCTGGACGCGAAGGCGTTCAAGTGTCGCTTCCTGGGCTACGAAGATGACGTGAAGGGATACCGCGTTCTCAACGTGGTGACGGGAAAGGCGCAAATCGTGCGCACTGTGAATTTTATGGAGACGACTGAACCCGACCATCTGATGACACGTCTGGAGATCGACGACGATGAAGATTCGACCCCGGCGGCACCAAACTCGGAAGGAGTGTCTGCATTGGTGCCCGCTCGCGACGTTTAGACTGCAGTTGAAGTTGGCGGTCCGACTATGGCACCGAGTGACGTGACGACAGGTGGAGCAATACTACCCATCCGATGATTACTCAGTCGCGTGCTCGTCACATTGAAGAGGCCAACGATCCGGAGGAGCCCGGAGGTCGCAAGAAGCAAGTCGTTGCACCATCCGAGATCAGGACGAAGCGTCAGAAGGTGGACCAAGGTCGCGCCAAGTCGGACGACAACCACCTAGCCATACACGGCGAAATGCTGATGGCTGCAACGGAAGAGGTGCCAAGGTTGTACCAAGAGGCGATTACGAGTGAGGATCGTGCCGCGTTCGCAAGTGAACTCAAGTCGCTGATGACGAACAAGACATGGAAGTTGGTGCCCAAGCCCAAACACCAGCGCACGATTGGCTGCCGCTCGGTGTTCGCGTTGAAGCACGATGAGACGGGGAGAGTCGTTCGGTACAAGGCTCGTCTCATTGCCAAAGGGTACTCGCAGAGACATGAAATCGACTACGAGGAGACCTACTCGCCGATGGTGTACCTGAACTCCATCCGTGCGAAACTCGCGAAGTGCTGCGCCGACGGAATGGAGATTGACCAGTGTGACATCGACACTGCGTTTTTGTATGGAAAGCCGAAGAGGAGATCTACATGGAGTTGCCTGAAGGACTTCGAGAACTATTGGATTTGGCTTAAGCTCAAGGTGAAGATGATGTCGTCTGCCTGCTACTGCAGAGTTTGTACGGACTCAAGCAAGCGTCTCGCGTATGGAACGGGACGATCGACGCGCATCTCAAAAGCATGGGATTTCGAGCTGCCGATGCCGACCCGTGTGTCTACACGAGAGGTGCTGGCGACGACGAGTGCGTGGTGTGTATCTACATCGATGACATGCTGATTGCATCTCGCCAGCGGGCCATCATGGACTCGGTGAAGGCAGGCATCGCGGACAAGTTTCTCATCAAGGACCTCGGACGCGCTCGATTCATCCTTGGCATCGAGATCGACTACGACATGGAGGCCAAGACGCTGGGCATCTGCCAGCGGGCGTACACCGCGTCGATCATCAAGAAGTTCGGCCAGAAGAATGCGAAGCCGTGCCTGACTCCACTCGACCCAAGTGTGCAGTTGACCAAGGCGGACGAACCCCAAACCGAGGAGGACAAGGCCAAGATGAAGTCGAAGCCGTATCGCTCTCTCGTGGGAAGCCTGATGTACCAGGAGTGTGGAACTCGACCAGACATTTCAGCTGCAGTGGCAAAGTTGAGTCGTTTTCTGGAGAACCCCGGTGAGGAGCACTGGGATGCAGGTATCCGCGTGGTACGATACCTGTTGAAGATCAAGAGTCTCGGAATCATCTACGATGGATTGCTTGGCACGGAGCTCGTCGCGTATTCGGACGCCGATTGGGCTGGTAACCGCGACGACAGACGCTCTGTAAGCGGAATGATGCTGATGATGTGTGGTGCTCCCGTGGTTTGGCGATCGACTTTTCAGAAGACGGTCGCGCTGAGCTCGACTGAGGCGGAGTACATGGCACTCAGTGAATGTGTGAAGGAGGTGGTGTGGATGCGACTACTACTCCAGGATTTAGGTGCGGAGCAAGATGGACCTACGGTGATCTACGAGAACAACCAAGGTGCCATGGCGTTGGCGAAGAATGTCGGCTACCAGGCTCGCACCAAGCACATCGACATCCGCTATCACTTCATCCGCGAGAAGATCACGAGGAGCTCGACCACGTTGAGTCCAAGAACCAACTTGCTGATTTTCTGACCAAGGGACTCTCGACGAAGACTCTTCGCTATGTGCTCAAGCGCAGTAACATTACTGAGATGCTCGGGTATACTGCAAATTGAGTGGGGGTGTTGCGATTGTACACTTCGCACTCTAGTTGTGTGTATCCGTATCGAGGCACGTGCTTGCTGTGAAGTTGTTGCCGATGGTAGGCAATTGTGGTACACGTGGTGGAATACTGGGATCTGATTGGCGGGGACCCAAAATTTGTCACTTCTGATTGGCTGAGGGAAAGGCAAGTTGAAGTTGCCTTTCTGGATACGATCTGCAACATTTACTTTTTGATCCCAAGCCTCTAATGCAACGTGCTACAAACCCTTAAGGGCAATTTTATATTTTGTTTTCTGCTAGATGACGCTTGAATTCTCTACTAGCTTCCTCATGTCGGCATAAGTGGATCGATCAGGTGCTTTCACATTGTATCCTCCTCCGGTCTGGTCCAAGGTGGCGATGCTGGATGTGGCATCTTTCCTGAGGCACATTATGTGGAATTACTCATAAGGTAGTGAAGTGTACTCACAATTAATTAAGTAGCACCCGTTGTCGAGTCCACAATCCATGTACTCACCACGGCGTAGCAAGAGTAATCGACAGTGCTGCTTAGTTTGAAGAGATCATGATGATGTTGAGGTATATTGGATAACTAACCGTAGTCTGAATCCTAACAACCCTATAGCCGAAGTTTTACCTTTGGCCGTTCCTCCTTACTCTTCAGTACTGTGGACGTCCATAGCCCACTCCGCGTAGTCTCGTCGTGCTAGTTGTGCTATTCGATGAAAGTTTTCACTGAACACCGCACTCTGTAAGACTCTTGTTTGCTCAGTTTCGGTCGCCAACTGAGCTAAGCTGCGGGAGCTTGCGTTGGCATTTCTGGGCAGCAAGGTCCATGACGCAACCCTGACTTTGTCTACTAGCTGTAGGCACTTGTGGAACCAAATTCGTAGCCTTGTGGACTTCGGGGGCGTTCTGGCGGACAGCACCTTTATCAGCAAGGCATTGTCTCCCGCAATGTGAATCCGCTTCTGCTGCTGTCTGTTCGCCTCGCTGGGAACATGAAATAATGCCACAAAAGCCGCGATATTCAAGGTGCATTTGGGAGATGGAATCGCAATGCTCTTGCCCCAGAGTACTTCTCCGTGTTGATCTAGATCACCTTAGCGAATCAAGACACCACTAGCTCCGTTTCTTCTGGGGATTCCGCCTGTATCATGCCGACTACCTGGCAATACACTGCTGGTCCGACCGTTGTAGGCTTAGTTACCTCTTTCAGAAGCCTTGCGTGCATTAGCTTTGCGATCAGCCATTCTGCGTGAGATTATTGTGAGAGGGGCGAATCTAACGCGACTTGCGTGTAGGTGCGCCGCAGCTTGGCTCTCGTTCTTGCTCAGCCAGTCCATTCAGCTGAGGCGTGTACGGCGCCGTCTTCTCATACTTGATGCCGCTGCGGTCGAGGTAGGCGCCACGATTCAGCAGCGGTTGTCGCTCCACGGATGTAGACTTGGAATGTGAGACTCACGTCCCCAGCGATCACACCAAGGGCCTTCAGATCGTCGGTCTTCCATTGTACCGTGGAGCGGTCACTCAGCTGGTCGAACTCTGACTGGCCAGCAGTCCCTTGCGCGACAGCTTCATCCGCATGTTGAACTCCCAGTGGAAGTAGTTGTCTTCCACGAGCTTCACGGTGTCTGTGTAGCTTGGGCTCAAAACAACTTGAGATTATGCGGGCGAGGCTTGGTAGTCGAGTGTTGGTTAGGAAGGGAATTAGAATGCGTTAGACCAAACTGACTATCATGTCCTAGTCTCCTATGCTTAAACATGAATCGTACTAACGCACACCTCCTACTTCCAAGTATTAGAAGCTGGGGATCAAAAAGTAAATGTTGCAGATCGTATCCAGAAAGGCAACTTCAACTTGCCTTTCTCTCAGCCAATCAGAAGTGACAAATTTTGGGTCCCGGCCAATCAGATCGTGTACCACAATTGCCTACCGTCGGCAACAACTTCACAGCAAGCACGTGCCTCGATACGGAGAGACACAACCAGACTGCGAAGTGTACAATCGCAACAGTGACCATCTCTCACGCTTTGGTCCAGAAGGACAATCCTGCCTCGATTTCGAAGGACCGCAACGACTTCACCACTACGTTGCACCTCCGGACGGACAACGTCAAGATCGGCAACCTTAATATCGCCAACATGGCAGGCAAGATCAACGCCGTCTCGGTTGTCGGCACCAATTCCGGCTTCTACGCTTGCTACTTCACGGGCTATCGGGTACTTTTTTTCTATTGTTGATCTTGGATCTCAAGTTCATTGTTGTCAGTTGACTAAAATGCTAACAACATGTTTTTTTCAGGACGCGCTTTACGCGAACAAGGGCGCCAATCTGTACGCCAAGTCGTACATCAGCGGTGTGGAAGACTTCATCTTCGGGCAGTACGCGAGTGCATGGTTCGAGTCGTGTGACATCGTGTCGATCGATGCGGGTCATATCACGGCTAATGGCCGTGACTCCGACACCAACCCGTCCCAGTACGTCTTCAACAACGCGCACGTGTCCGGCACGGCTAAACCTGGATCAGTCTACCTCGGTCGCCCGTGGCAGCCCTACGCTCGTGTCGTCTTTCAGAACAGTAAACTTGTCAAAGTTGTCAACCCTGCTGGCTGGGAGTTGTGGGAAGACAACAACACCGCCAACATTTACTTCGAGGAGTACAACAACAGCGGGGCTGGCGCAGCTACGGATGATCGAGCGGATTTTAGTAGAGTGTTGGCGAAACCTGTGGCTATCGCTGACGTTCTCGGTGAGAACTACGAGATTGCGGGGCGGGTTGATACCACGAAAACACCAACCCAAGGGCTAAAGTATGGTGACGAGTTGCTGCCAAGTGTAGTTTTCATGTTTTTGAGAAAGATTGCTTTTTTTAAATATACAGTTTTTGTATGAGTTGAGCTTCTGGTCGCCCAACAACATCTACTTTTGGTAAAAAAATAATAATAAGGCAAACTGCCACTTTAGTAGAGTGTGAGCAGTTTAGTAGAGTGTCACGTCGACCAATGAACAGACAGTATTTCGCGTATGGCTTCCATGATTGGTTGATAATATAATTATTCAAGGTGCAAAGGAGCAAACAGCTGGTATTTCAATACAAACTCCCTGGTAAAATCTCTACTAAACTGGCACAACCTCGAATTCGAGATGGCTTAGTAGCTTGCGTTAAATGTGCTGAATATTGCATGGATTTAGTTAGCTAGTATCGTCTCTGATTGCTGAAATCTTGAGCTACAATTTCATTCCCCACTCAGTACCTTGCGGCCAATACTACAAGCAGAGGCGGTTGGCTAAAAGTTGCCATCGAAAATTCTACTAAAGTGGCAACTTGCCTTAGTAGATCTTTAGCAGACACGTAATTGGGAATCCGAGGTGACCCATTTGACCGAGTTGCATATCAGAGCTGTCCATCACTTCGACCACTCCTCGAAGGGTTTGTGGCTCACCGCGCAGCTCCAGCTCGCCATCAGCTGAAGCGTGTATGAAGCGCGTACATGTGTGCACGTACATACGGGAACGGCAAAAATGTTGCTGTTCGAGGTGCTTCTCGTTTGTCAGGCGATTAAAATCTACAGTAGAAATTTGCCGAATATCCGAATGTACCTCACGCTGTATCTACTAGATAGCGCACTATCACCTACATGTATAGTAGTTGGCACTGTACTTAACTACTGGCAGCAGAAGTACTCTGCAGCGAATTAGGAGAAATCTGGAAGTAAGGCTGTATGCAGAGGTTCCGCGAAGTAGCTCTATTACATTTCCGATGTGGGCTTCATACGTTCCACATGCAGGGGTTTTTTCGCTCACTCTCGAGTTGTGGTTTCCTAAATGGCAATCCAAACCCGCACGCATTGCTCTAATGCGACTAGTGCAACAACCACCGCAGTTTAGACTAAAGTTTAGTATCCGACGGATACGTCACCTCGCTGATCATATGTCTGATGATGATGGGCGAACAGCTCATCAACAGCAAGTTTGGGTTCGTACAGAAAATTGAATCTACTATACTCGCCGTCGGATCATCTATCTCCGCCGCACCACTTCGTGTTTTACCGCGCCAGGATCGAGTGACTTAATCAACGAATGCGTTGTCATTGTGTCTACATGCTACTTCTTGCCACCGTTCAAGGCTTTTGGGCTGTTGTGACTGCGGTGAAATACGACATCATGGCCAACTACCTCGGTGGCGACTGCAACAACACGGAGCCGTACATCGTGTACGCGAGGCAGAATGGCGGGTGTGAGGACGGGGTCTGCTACGACTTCGACGTGGGCGAGCGCGCGTCCACCGACTGCTCCAAGGAAGACTACCTGCAGGTGATGCGCGACTTCTTCGGCGAGGCCCCGTACATCATCCACAGTTTGTACTCGGACGACGACTGCTCCACGTTCGAGTATGCGGCGGCTTCCTCGCGACGAATTCCTGTCTGGGCGGCAACGTGACGGCGGGGTTGTTCTATCAAAGCAGCGTGAATGCGGACGGGTCAGCTACGGTGGTACCGTACTACGTGCCTGTCGGGTCGAAGGGGTCCATGGCGGGGGACAATTCGTGCTCATCGACAAACGTGGCGATAGGAGCGGCCAATAAGGACGAAGTCGAGAACCATTCATGCGTACTCTTGGGCAACGTCAGCGCTGTGTACGACTTCTTCACGACGGACTCGGTGAACTCCGTGGGCTCGTACGAATGGTATACGAGCAATGACGTCGATCGTAGCAGCTCCAGTGGGTCGAACGATGAAAGTTCTCCATCAAATTCCAGCTCAAGTGGATCCTCCGTCACGACTGGAAGCAGTAGCAACAGTGGCGACACTGCTACCGTAGTAGGGATTGCTGTCGCCGCCGTCATAGTCGCCGTAGGCATCCTCTGCGCGCTCATCTGTCGTCGAGACAAAGGGAAATATACCGAGGACCGTTCTAATACGAGCAGCACTGGGCCCAACGACACCGCCATGGAAGGCCGAAGCGGGCTCTGGAACGACGAAATCATCACGGCGAAGCGGATTCCACGAGACAAAGTCAAGATCAAGAACCTCATCCGCCGCGGAGCCTACGGAGAAGTGTACCTTGGGGTCTACAACCGACAGCCAGTAGCCATCAAGATGCTTCCCCCATCGGCGCGCTCCAACCTCCAGCATGTCAACGCATTCCTTGCCGAAGCCAAGATCGCTGCAGCCATGGACCACCCCCGTATCGTCAATTTCGTGGGCGTCGGGTGGGACTCGCTGTCGGATCTGTGCATGGCTATAGAGTTCATGGAGGGCGGCGATCTCCGAGCTCTCCTCAACAAGTACGAATCGTCCAACCACGCAGTCGGCTTCGACCGACAGAAAGTCGCCATCGCGCTTCAGGTCTGTCACGCGCTCACGGATCTGCACTCGTTGTCGCCGCCCATGATCCACCGAGACCTCAAGTCGAGGAACATTCTCCTGACCAAGACGCTGGAAGCCAAGCTCTCGGACTTTGGCGTTTCTCGTGAAATTCTGGACCGCACCATGACTGCTGGAGTTGGAACGTCGCTGTGGATGGCGCCGGAGGTCATGTTCGGGGAGAGATACGACGACAAGGCCGACATGTTCTCCTTTGGGGTGGTGCTGTCGGAGTTGGATGTCCATACACTCCCGTACCCTCAGGCGAGGAAGCGGAGTCGCGAGTCCGAGGGTCGAGAGCTGGTGGACGCTACGTTGCTCCAGAGAATCGCAGCGGGGGAGGCTCGAGTGGAGTTCTCGTACTTCAGTCCACGCTCGATCGTCAAGCTTGGGCTTGACTGTGTGTCCATCGACCCTAGAGAGAGACCGAGCGCAGCGGAGGCGTTGTACAGACTTCAAGTTGTCTAGTCGAAGGAGCTCCTTGCACCAGAGGATACGGTACCTACTGAGCCCTTCATTGCCTGTAGCTAATGGACAAGGATAATCAAGTCATGGTTTGCTGTTGGTTTGCCGCTGATGTTGTGAGGGTTCCCCAGAGCCGCTTGGAAGGCAGAGTTATCGTGCAGTGTAGCAGCTGGAGAGTCTCCACCTGAGAGTTTATGGCGCAACGAGAAGTTTTCTCATTGCAGATGATCGCTTCCACCCACCCACATGACGCCTAAACCTCTCAGCCGAAGTGGACTGGCGAGTACTAAGTATCCGGCAAAGGACCGCGCTCGTTGCCGCGTTGAGCTTGATCCACTCGCACCGAAACGCTCCATTCCAACTCACGACCAGCTCCTCCGGCGCCTTTCCACCTCTTCCGCCCCGACGTCTCCACATCGCTGCCACTGACAGTCAATGAATGGTCTCCATTGCCATCGCCGCGGCCAGCACGTGGGTTAACTCTACCGGATACGGTGAGCTTTGGTGCGCTCTTTCCACTGCTCTGTCTCGCCTCTCACGGCCGTCGCCACAGCAATCGATCGTGCATGACCAGTCCACAGCTCCCCCGTATGTTTCCAACAGCAAACGCACCAGTGCCTCTCACTCTTTGACTCCACTCCACTCTCAAGTCTCCAATTGCTCACACTCCCACCCGTCTCAATAGACTCAATAGACACTCCATGCTTCGACGGGTTCTGGCTGCGGCCATCGCCGCTCAATCGGCCAGCGTCGCGCTAGCCGCGACCATGTACAAGATCTCGTCCTCGTACCTCGGCGACCAATGCGGCGGCACTCCATGCGCCGTGTACGCTTCATCCGCGGACAGCTGCACCCCCTCCGAGTGCTCCCCAGGCTCGAGCAACATCGACGCGGACATGCAGACGGTCGACTGCTCCTCGGACTTCATTGCCACCATGCGCGACAAGTTCGGCGACTCGCCCTACCTCATCAAGCTGATGAACACGGACGCCACCTGCTCCAAGCTCTCCGTGGCCTTCGGGTACCCGGCGTCGGGCGCGTGCGTGGGCGCCTACGACAAGAGCTACTACGTCATCGCCAGCCTCGACGAGAGCGGCTCGGCTTCTGTTCAATACTACAACCAACGCTCGTGCTTGACGGACGACTTGTACCAGACAGACAGCGCCGACGAGACCGCTTTGACGCAGCATACATGCAGCAGTAAAGGGTATTCGTGGTACAGCAGCAACGACGTTGACGGGTCCAGCGGCAGCGACTCCACGTCAGAGGTCAGGGACGACATGGGCGAGGCCACCGCGGACTCGGCACCGTTGCGAACGTCGGACTCGCCGTGGTTCTGTTCCTGTTCGTAGCGGCCATTGTAGCGGTCACGTTGTTCGTCTACAAGCGGAGGATCAAGGCGCAGAGTATAAAGGACACGAAGGCGACGCTCAACTCGGACAGGAGCAGCATCGCGTTGCTGGAGACACCAGGGGCTACAGCCGATCGAGGCGTCCTCGGACAGACTGGACTGTGGACCGACGACGTCATCACGGCCAAGCGCATTCCGCGTGACAAGGTGCAGACGCAGAAACTCATCAGCCGTAGAGCGTTTGGAAAGGTCCACGCCGGGCTCTTTAATGGCCAGCAGGTCGCTGTCAAGATGCTGCTGCCGGCCACGCGCAGCAACATGAAGCAAGTCAACGAGTTCCTGGCGGAAGCCAAGATGAACGCCACCATGGACCACCCGCACATCGTGACGTTCGTGGGCGTGGCCTGGGACTCCCTCTCGGACCTCTGCGTGGTGCTGGAGTACATGCATGGAGGCGAGCTGCGTGCGTTACTGGACCAGTACCTCGAGTCGAAGCAGCCTGTCGGGTTCACTAAGCAGAAGGCCACCATCGCGCTTCAAGTGTGTCATGCGCTGACCTATTTGCACTCGCTGGAGCCGCCCGTGATCCACCGCGACCTCAAGTCGCGGAATATTTTATTCACTAGCGACATGGAGGCCAAGCTCACGGACTTCGGTGTTTATCGCGTGAACGTCTTGACCAGACGATGACGGCGGGGGTGGGGACGTCGCTGTGGATGGCGCCGGAGGTCATGATGGGCGAGAGGTATGATGATAAGGCAGACATGTTCTCCTTTGGAGTAGTGCTGTCCGAGCTGGATGTGCACACGATGCCGTACGCTCGGGCGCAGAAGGAGAATCTCGAGTCAAGTGGCCGCGAGATGGTCGACTCGGTGCTTCTTCAGAGGGTGGCGCTGGGGAAATTGCAGGTCGATTTTTCTGATGCCAGTCCCGAGGCGATTATAGAGCTCGGTCGAGCCTGCATGGCCGTGGATCCGGCCCAGCGACCGAACGCAGCAGAGGCGCTGTACAAGCTTCACGTCATTTGTCAGAAGATGGAGTGAGCGTGGTTGGGTACGGTAATAATTTATAAGCAGCGAGCTTGGAACCGCGACGAGAGTACACTTCTTATTACAGTTATTAACTCCAGTTGTTGGCAGATTCCTGCGCTGGTGTTACAAGAACCTTAGGGGGGCTATAGGCAACCCGGAGCGTTGCTCCGGGAGGGTACACAGGTCGGCAAATAGTTTCATGGACGATGATAACGGATAACAATTGAGTAAATCCCAGTGTTGTTTTTAATTTTGACATCTACTTCTCAAGCTACTTCAACGCGAACGGATCAGCTACGGTGGAGTATTTCACCTACTATGGTATGAGTGGTGTGGAGGGTGACCCGTTTTGCCCCCCTGGCAACATGACGTCAACTTTTGCAGACAAGGATCAACGGGAGGCTCACACGTGCATCGATTCATCGTCCCGAACACGTAGTACACACGAGGTGACGAGTATGTTCCACGACATCAGCCCGAACAGAGCGGACGCAAGATCCTTCAAATGGTACAGCAACAATGATCGTAACTACACTGACGGTCTCACGTCCGGGGCTATCGCTGGGATTACCTGTGGTTGCATCGGTGTCGTTGCCATTGCTGCTTTCGCGGTCGTGTACTTCCGCCGGCGAGTCTACGCTATGTACAAGCAACAGTGGACGGCAACCCAAGGATCAGAGGACGCCAACTCTCTCGAAGCAGCCACTCGCGAGACCCGCGGACTCTGGAACGACGAAGTCGTCGTTGCCAAGCGGATTCCTCGTGACAAGGTGAAGATCAAGAAGCTCATCAGTCGAGGCGCCTTTGGAGAGGTCTAGGCTAGACGCCTGAACCGCAACCAAGTTGCGGTGAAAATGCTGCTCCCTGCTACACGCAACAGCCTCAAGCACGTGGACGACTTTCTCGCTGAAGCCAAGATGACGGCCGTCATGGACCACCCACACGTTGTGTCGTTTATTGGCGTCGCCTGGGACTCGCTCTCTGACGTCTGCGTCGTGCTGGAATTCATGGACGGTGGCGATTTACGCACTCTGCTCAACAAGTACGAGACGTCCAAGCACCCCGTGGGCTTCGACAAGCAGAAGGCCACCATCGCCCTGCACGTGTGCCATGCGCTCACGTATCTGCACTCGCTGGCGCCCCCCGTCATCCACCGAGACCTCAAGTCGCGCAACATCCTGCTCAACAAGGCCATGCACGCCAAGCTGACGGACTTCGGCATCTCGAGAGAGCGGCTGGACCAGACGATGACGGCGGGCATGGGGACGTCGCTCTGGATGGCACCTGAGGTGATGCTGGGTGAGCGATACGACGTGAAGGCCGACATGTTCTCGTTCGGAGTGGTTTTGTCCGAGTTGGACGTGGCCGTACGCACAAGAGAAGATGAGAAGTTTGGATAGCGGAGGACGCGCACTAGCAGACGCCACGCTGCTCCAAAGAGTGGCTGCAGGGACGCTTCGGGTGGAGTTTTCCGAAGCCAACTTGGCCACGATCACGAAGCTCGGCTGCTCGCTGCACTTATCTGTAGACCCAAGTCAGCGCCCAAGTGCTGCTCAGGCGTTGTACAGACTTCAACTGGTCTTGGCCCAAGGGCTACAGTAGTTAAGTTAAAACCAAGGGTAAAGCTTTAACCGAAGAATCCATTGTTTCGCGTCCACACAGATGTCCATTGCTGTCCACAGCGCCCACGGGATTGTGTTTCAGTGCGGGTAGAGTGAGAGCTCGTGGGTGTGCTCAAGCAAGGCTTTTACGAGGCATGAATACGCCCCAGAGGTCCGAAAATACAGTACTATATTGAATTGAGTACGAGATCAGACCATAATAAAAATTACAATTCAGCAAGGAGAAATAATGATGGGTTATCAACCCAGCCACAGACTGAGTCCGGGACCCGGTCTCTACGCGATTGGACCCAGCTGAGGAATGGGGGTAATAACAGCCAGTTGTTTTTAGCCAATCACATGCATCTGGACTGAACAGAGGTCAAAGCCGCATATCCGCTCTGCAGCACAAGCACCAAGCTCCGATGAGATGCCATAGAGGCTTCTGGGCTTATGCCGGTGAAGCCGGCGCTGAGATCTCTGACAGCGCTGCCCGGTTTGCGCGGAAGCAAGCCGCCCAAGATGCACCTGGAGTGAACAAAGCCGCACAAGACTGGTTGCGAACTCGCGCAGGAAGAGCTTTGCGCTCGCTGTGGCTGGCGGAAGAACCGCCGCGTCGACAGACGTACATTCTTAACAACGCTGACGACACCTTCCCGCTGGAAGACTACCCAAAAGGCATCGTGGATGGCCGCCAGGACCGTCGGCGATACCCTAGGATGGTGCGTGCAGACGTATCGACGGCGGAGGTTGTGCATGAAGCTTCGGCGGCAGTGCAGACCGGCAATAGCTCCAACGACCAGGACAGTACTGTGGATAAAGCGCTGGATACGTACCGAGGGGAGCTGGTGCGTGCCGCACTCGCCGCCGCGGTTACCGCACTCGCTCGAGCGATTAGAGGGGGCGCGATTGAAGGCGTTGTGAGCCGGGCAGCGGCTATAGTGGAATGCATGGGAGCGCAGATCGCGTCAGATCTGTCTCCATCAGCCCGGCAGCGGGTCGTCGGTATCTCTGGTGATGTGGCTGCTTATGTGCGGGCTGCTACAACCCAGATGAAAATGTACACCGATGTTGAGGTGAGCGCAGCCATTGCGGACAGCGTGACGAGGGTTCGTAGCGCCGGTCAAGCGCTCTGCAGTTATGTTCGAAACGCCATGCACTCAGACCCCAAATTGAAGACTACGTATCAAGAACGTGAGAAGTATCGTGCTGTCAGTACTGTTCACCTGAATCACTGTTACTGGCTGGCTACTGTACCCACATCGGCATTGGTTGAGTGTAGTGCGTGTAGCCAAGACGACGTACCTACATGTGGAGAGGCTACCGCAATCGAGGCAACTCCGCATACGGGCGATTTTGCACGGAAACGACTACGAGTTATTGAGCACGAACAAGACCTCGATACTGCCGTCGGTCAAGTTCGAATTGTGAACAAATTAAGCGGAGCTCGTGGTACCCGATTGGTTAGTGGTGTTATTGGGGATGCGGCTAGTGAAGTTGGTACACGCATTAGTGGTGAAGCCAATGTACATATGGCCAGTGCTGAGGAGGAGAGGAGTAGCGGCGATGTGGACAATGAGTCCCATAACGAAGCAAGTGCTAGTGACGAAGTGAACAATGAGAACCATGATGACGCAAATGCTAGTGGCAATGAACATGGGATGAAAACTCGAGTGATAGAGAAGATGTGGGCAGTGGTAGCGTGCATGACGAGGACGATAGCGATGATGCGAACGGAAAGAGTGCACATTACGAGGAGGGATTCGAGGGACAAATATCAAAGCTCGGAATCAGAAAGCTCAGTCTGTTCCGACGGTAGTGTATACGAGGAAACGAGCGCGAAAGGACCAGCCTCCGCCTCCAGTGTACCCAACCGTCGCGTTTTGAGGCAGCGCAAGTCGCACGATGATGCGCTGTTCGTTGGGGTGGACTACCAGGGTTTGGGAGACGCTAAAAGCTTCCGGTTTTACCGCGAGGACTTGGACAGCTTGCTGCCCCTTTCTTTCATGACGTCGATGGCCATTGACTACTTTATTTATCGGGACATGGTCAAGCAGGATGGGTTGGTCTGTTGTTACGGGACCACACTCTACTTCTCGATGGTGGTGGCCCGATATACACTGAAACCACAAAAAAACGCCGCTTGCTCAAAAATCTGATTGAGCAATTCGACTGTAGTAAACGTTATCGCTACATGCTAGTTCCCGTATCCGGCCGCAAGCATTGGAGCCTCCTCGTAATCGAAAATCCGCTGCATTCGGTGCCGCCGAAGGTGTATCATATCAACTCGCTGCGAAGGGCTCATAGTTCCGCCTACGCCTTCGATGTCACCAAGTGGTTTCTGTCTAACCTTCACGAAAAGGAATTTGACGCATTTGAATGGAAGACTTTTGTCTTCAACACAAAGCCACAGCAATCAAACAGTGTGTATTGTGGACTATACCTGCTTCATTACATGGATGTAATCTCGAAGCACGTAGCGGCAGCCGAACCACAATCCCTTGAGGACAAATTGGGTGAATGGATATCGACAGACTTTAACGCTACAAAAGCTGCTTTTTACCGCTCCAAGCTCCACAGCAGAGTCGCACGTGAACCTCAACAGGGTAAGTAACATGTTTAAAAACAATATACGTAATTTGCATCAATCGAGACCTCGCATGTGATCCTCATCACAGCTCTTTTGCCTCAATAACTACCACCTCGCCTAAACGGCAGCTCAACCGCGAAGTCACACTTAGGTAGCTACACTGCGGCACCCACCTACCGCAAAGTCACACTTAGGTAGCTACCCTGCGGTACCTACACTGCGGCACCTACCGCGAAGTTATACTGCGGTACCTCCCGCGATGTCATAGTGCGGTACCTCCCGCGAAGTCACACTCTGGTAGCTACCGCGATCTCACACTGCGGTAGTTACACTGCGGCACCTACCGCAAAGTCACAATGTTGAGAGTTGTATTTACCGCTGTAATTTATCTGAAGCGCGCAGTTATCGTGTATGACCGCGGCTGTGCTTGATGTTAAACGTCCTGGTCTCGTACTCCGAGCTCATGTGCAATTGCAGCTACGTTTTGAGACACCCACTTGAGCGATTTTTTGCGAATACAGCGGATGCTGTCAACACGCTTAATCGCCTCTTTGACTGCCTGATACTTGTCGAACGCCTAGTGGTTGCAAACCCAGCTAGCGATGGTCTTTACAAGATCAATAATTTTTCGTCGTCGGTTGAAGAAGCGTCACTCGTGATGGTCACACCACTTGGTACCGAGCTGTTGCTCCAGCGTTTCAACTGCACAACCACCAGGGAGGGCACAACCACCAGGGAGGCCACATGTCCATTCGGTCCACAACTCACGAACCGATTGAATGCCCCGACTGAGTCTGTAACTTGTAATCGCAGAGGGGTCGCTCGGTGTACTGTCGTGTAGGAACACGCACTAAATTATATAATAGCACCCTTTCCCCACCAACAACACCTACCAAGTCCCGATGACTCAATGGGCTTGTTAGGGTTAGAACCTGAAGGCCCAGGAACTTTCCCTTGCACCGGGTTGATGTTTCCTCTGTGCACCGTGTTTCCGCTTAGTCAACTGACGAAACCCCAGCGTCACCAGCCACGAGCAAAGGCTGGCACGCTCTCACACACAATATAAACCTCGCAGGCCCTCAGGAAGGAAGGGTCCGTCCCAGCCAGTCACGGCTTGATACGAGGGTGCCGGAGCTATACTCCGGCGGGAAGGATAAATGGAACGCACTCTCGCTCCTCCACTACTCGGCGATGACTCGCTCTTCGTATACACGGCCACTTCTTCACTACTCTTGGCCTGACCACGGGTAAACGCACGCTACGATACTAGCAGGCGCGTCCACCGACAGTCATAATCCTACCAACAGGTTTATCCAATTGCTACGGGAACTCACCGATAGCCCGGACGTCTTCCTTGAGTGGTAGGGAGGAAAAGCTGTTCTGTTCTTGTTGCCCAAAGGGCTTATCTGTTCTATCTTCTCTTTCCTATGGTTCAATACAAATATCTAGTATAAACGTGTCCGTTTTGGATCTTCCCAAGTAACCACCGACCCTTCAGAGCCTCCTCGACGCCCCAAGAGGCCTCTCGATGACTCTATTGGACGATGAAGGGGTTACCTGACTTGGAGCAGTCGCCGGGGCTCGAACGGTCGTCTTAAGTGCGGATCTCGGGTCAAAGTTCGCTGTAGGTTCGGATCGTACTTGAAGTCCTGGACCTCGAACTTGGGTGTCGACGAGTCTTCGGCACCGGTCCAGAATGGCCAATCAGCATCCGCCGAACATTGCTGAACATGTCTCGACGACTCGGATCGCCACTGAAGCTTGGTCGTCAGCTCGATTCTCGTTTACCGCCAATCACTACACCACAGTACTGCTACCTGTGCTAGCTCCGGAGGCGGCTTGGGTGGCGCTGGGGGTTGTCGATTGTAAGCCATTCACGATCTTAACTTCCACCAATGCTGATCCATTCCTGAGTGGGGCAAGAACTTCCATGACATCTGCTACACTTTCACCAACCGCGTCCAGGCTATTTCGAATACCACTCAATGATGCTCTCATCTCCTGTCGAACACCATCGAGCGTCGACTTCAGCGCGGGCATGGCTTTCTCAAGCTGACGCTCGGTGGGGTCACTAACGTGGTTCGTGGTATTCTTCATTTCCAGCTGAAATTGTTTAAAATCATCGCTCTTGAAGATCTCATTGTTCCAAATCGGATGTCCCGGCATTTGCTCGGACCAAATGGCAGCATCCTGCAGAATTACGGTGCGCAGATACTGAAGCAGCTCGAGAAAACAACCAGCTGCGATTGACTGTTCACATTCACCTGAAGTCATCTTCGACTGCCACTCCTCCACCAACGGAAAAATACGTTTCTGAAGAGCTTGGGGAGGATCAACGCAAGTACGCGCCAGAAAATAACTGCCTCTTCCTGGTTCAAAGCCCGCAAGCGTTCGCATTGCTTCTCGCGCGAGTGAGGTGAGGTAACATTTCTCCATCGCCTGACCCTAGGCGCCGTATCTGAGCTTCACTGGCACCCCCAAGGTCTGCCATTCGGGAGCCCGATCCTCTGCCTAGATATGTTTTGGCCCTGCTGCGTAGACCGATGTGGTCGAGCGTGTCAACAATAACCGCCCGATGAACCTTGTACGGCATTGGCTTGGTTGGATCTTTCCCAGTTTTTAGCAGTTTTATAGGATACCATTGTTCCGACTTCGTGAAATCAGGAAACGACTCTGTATCCACGTGCCATCGCCAAAACAGATAGAATCCGAGCAATCCATGACCACAAATCTCAACTTTCTTACTGCGCATACATGCACCCACTTCAATACGACCAACTTGGTTGGTTTCCCCTTGTGTCATGACCATCACCAGCGCCCGACAAACACTGTAGCCTTCATTTTCCAGTACAATCGAGTGACGATCAGCTAGCTCCATCAGCCGAGCAGACTCGCCACACATTAGCGCATAGTAAGACAACAGGAACGCCAGTAAATTCCTCATGCTAGTTCCAGGGTCGTGCGACGAGGTCCAAAAGTAGCGAGCAATCTGTTGTAGCTGATCCGTTGTTGTGTAGCCATCCAGTTAAGTATCAGCTCCTCGATCTGCAAAGTTCTTACGCCGCAGCTGGTCCTCCTCGTACGTCGTAATTTTGAGAAGTGCTGTAACAGCGCCATCTCGAGGAGACAGGTTGCTGTTGATATTCAGTTGTTTCTGTTGCCGCCACAAGTCAACCATGGCAGCCACATAGCTGTTGACAGTCGATTTACCAACATTTTCGCTTCTCCCGCCGTGACCCTTTCGTCGCTTTTCCCTCCCAGTCACGCACTCCACAAGAAAAAGGTGGAGTTTTGGCCCTGTTACTGTGTACCGAGTGAGATCACTGAAAGCCGCGCCCTTGTCGTCACACCACTGCTTGAACTCGTCCTGCTTGCTTGTATATGCCCTCGAAGTGTTCTGAGGGCGAATGTTAGAAGCTTTTTCGTAGGTGCGGCGCACAGACTCGTCGAACGCTACACGCATGAGAGATTCCTCGGCCATGCTGCTCCTGTTTTCAGTGCTGCTGCTTCTTGTTCTTCAGTGCTGGAAGTTCGCCCCCTCCCTCTCCATTTCAGCCAATGGGTGTGACGAGGACACGGGGGCAGATAACTGGCTTATTTGTACCGGTGGCTAGGGCAATAACAACGGTTATACGTGCGCACGACGGAGACCGCGTCCGGACCCCGGTTATGATAATAAAAATTGCCGCAATATAAATATACTGCTCTTCAATTTGAGGCATTTCTACAGAAGAAATAAACCACTTTCTGTGCGTCATATGATTACAGAGTCGTTTAAAAACACTTTTTGGAGTGTTGCTTTAGAAAACTTTGCATGGTGGATGCTTAAACAACCTACCGGTAGTAATACGTGAGCGAGATATATCTGGATCTTGCTATATATCGTTAATCTGGTGTAGTGGATTCCAGGGTTTCACCTTGGTATCACCGCAGTTAAGGGCTCGACAGCATGTCGCGGCGGTGACCCACGCCAGCCACAGGTAATGGGTTCACCGCATCATGGCCAGTTAAGCTTCACACAGACACACTTCATAGTGTGTACACCTGATATGAGGTTACAGACTAAGCATTTTGTATGATCAACTCCTTCGCGGACCCACTTCGCTTTTTCTCCTACAACTGCCTCAAAAGGCGTACACACTATATCAAAACATAAAGCTCAAGTCCCGAGTGGATTGCCATCCGCTGCCGTCCCCTGATGTGATGTGTTCGGCGGGATTCTCTACATCTGGACGTCATTGATGTTCTGACTTGCGTACATATTGGTTTCTGAAGATGTTGATTGCCCATTATGGCTTTTACTGCACCTTAATCGTTGCGTATGTAGACCTAACTATGTTTTTATGACGTACTTTGCTATGTTTGGCGGCCGTGCGACCTTTTTTCATAATAATTGTCAATAATTGGTACAATACTGTATTGTATTGGAATCGTTAATCTCCAATAATAAAAATTAGTATTGCAAAATCCAATTATTTATTGGATCGCAATTATTATTTCGGACCTCTATTACGCCAATCCGGCCAGCATATCGTATGTTCCGACGCCTCTGCTCTCGTCGTTCCTGCTTCGCCTGGCCTCAGTCTCGATTTGTCCTTCATAGCCTCTCCTCGATGCATCGGTTCATGCTGGGTGCCGTCTTCGCGCTAGCTGTACTAGTGCAGCATGTCGTCGCCGAGGTGATGTACTCGATCTCGGCTTCCTACCTCGGCGACAAGTGTGGAGGCACCCCCCACGCTGTGAATATCGTGCGCGACGACAGTTGCGCCCCCCAGACGTGCCAACCTAGCCGCCTATCAAGCGGCGACGTCGAGACCAACGACTACAGCTCGGACTACGTGGAAGTCACGCGCGACAAGTTTTCCCATTCGCCGTTCGTATTGGCCGTAGTGTTCGTGCACGAAGGCTGCACCAACATCGTCATGGGGTTCGGCTGCCCAGCGTCGGGCACATGCACGGGCGGATACAATGAGACAGACTACGCCATTGCTAGGCTCAACAAGGACGGCTCGGCTTCGATTGAGTTTTATTCGGATCGGTCGTGTTCGTCCGCGTCGTTGAACTCGATCAAAAGTGGGGACAAGGCAGCGCTCACAACCCACGAATGCGACGTCAATTTGTTCAAATGGTACAGCAGCAACAATGTTGAGGACGTCAGTGGGAGCAACTCGACCGCAGTCTCTGCAATCGCGAACGAGGCAAGTAGTTCACTCAGCTCGGGTGACCTTATTGGAAACTGCGTGGGCGCCTTCGTGGTCGTTATGGTTTTTGTGGTGGCGATAGTCATTCGAAGGCGAAAGGCAAAGCCTCACGAGGCGATCGACCAGTCAAGAACCAGTCTCCACTCGCTCAGCGCGACTTCATTGGAGATAGTGATGCGTGGACAAAGTGGACTATGGAGCGACGAACTGATCATAGCGAAGCGAATCCCGCGCGATAAGGTGTTGATAGGAGAACTGGTCAGTCAAGGGTCTTTCGGTGAGGTGTACGCTGGCGTCTTCAATGGACAACAAGTCGCAGTCAAGATGCTGCTTCCAGCCTCGCGTGACAACCTCCAACACGTCAACGAGTTCCTTGCTGAGGCCAAGATGACTGCCACGATGGACCACCCTCAGATCGTCTCGTTCGTCGGAGTCGCCTGGGACTCTCTGTCAGATCTCTGCGTCGTGCTCGAGTACATGGACGGCGGGGAGCTGCGTGCGCTGCTTAACGAGTACGCAGATAACGATCGACCGGTTGGATTCGACCGACAGAAGGCCACGATCGCACTGCAGGTGTGGCGTACTTGCACTCGTTGATGCCGTCCGTGATCCACCGAGACCTCAAGTCGCGCAACGTTCTGCTGGACAGCAACGTGCAGGCCAAGCTGTCAGACTATGGCATCTCCCGCGAGCGACTTGATCGGACTATGACTGCAGGCGTTGGGACGTCGCTGTGAATGGCTCCGGAAGTGATGCTCGGCGAGCGATACGATGACAAAGTCGACATGTTTTCGTTCGGCGTGGTTTTATCCGAATTGGACGTTCACACGCTGCCGTACGCACGAAGCAGATACTTGACTCGAACGGCCGTGAATTAGCAGACTCGGTTCTTCTTCAAAAGGTGGCACTGGGAAACATCCAGGTCGAGTTCACTAGCTCAAGTCCTCGCTCCATTGCGGAGCTGGGGCGCGCTTGTGTGTCAATCGACAATCGACCCGACAGAGCGACCAAGCGCAGCCGAAGCGCTGTATAGACTTCAGACGGTCTTGTCAAAGCGAAGGATCTTCTGATCTCACTTTGACGGATGCTTATCAAATTATACAATAACCATTATTATCGTTGCTAGCTATCTCGGGCATGTACGTTGTCAAACCCGCAGATATGGTCTCCGTAGGCTGCACGACAAATAACAATCACGGTGATGAGGCAGGTGCTTACCAAGTCTACGTACAACCTACATGTACAGGCATGATTCGCGACGATGCTTGCTTCGTCGCACTCGAGCACTCCGGAAGGAGCTTATTAACGAGACAGAAAATGGCTACGCCGTCGTCCATCTCAACTTGACCGGAATCGCCTGCTCAAGTAATGCTTTGAGAGTCCATGCTCAGCTGAATCAGGATACTCAACTAAAGTGTTAGCTGCTGTAGCCCTTGGGCCAACACTAATTGCAATTTGTACAGGGCTTCAGCAGCACTTGGGCGCTGACTTGGGTCTACAGATACACAAGCGCAGCCGAGCTCCGTGATGAAAGACGCGTTGCCTTCAGAAAACTCGACACGAACGGTCCCTTCAGCCACTCTCTGGAGCAGCGTGGCGTCCGCAAGCGCACGTCCTCCGCTGTCCAGACTCCTCTTCTTCTCCTGCGCGTACGGCAGCGTGTGCACGTCCAACTCGGACAGCACCACTCCGAACGAGAACATGTCGGCCTTCACGTCGTATCGCTCGCCCAGCATCACCTCAGGCGCCATCCAGAGCGACGTCCCCATGCCCGCCGTCATCGTCTGGTCCAGCCGCTCTCTCGAGATGCCGAAGTCCGTCAGCTTGGCGTGCATGGCCTTGTTGAGCAGGATGTTGCGCGACTTGAGGTCTCGGTGGATGACGGGGGGCGCCAGCGAGTGCAGATACGTGAGCGCATGGCACACGTGCAGGGCGATGGTGGCCTTCTGCTTGTCGAAGCCCACGGGGTGCTTGGACGTCTCGTACTTGTTGAGCAGAGTGCGTAAATCGCCACCGTCCATGAATTCCAGCACGACGCAGACGTCAGAGAGCGAGTCCCAGGCGACGCCAATAAACGACACAACGTGTGGGTGGTCCATGACGGCCGTCATCTTGGCTTCAGCGAGAAAGTCGTCCACGTGCTTGAGGCTGTTGCGTGTAGCAGGCAGGAGCATTTTCACGGCCACTTGGTTGCGATGCAGTTGCCCCGCGTAGACCTCGCCAAAGGCGCCTCGACTGATGAGCTTCTGGATTTTCACCTTGTCGCGGGGGAGTTTCTTGGCAATGATGATCTCGTCATTCCAGAGCCCCCGGTTGTAACGAGTAGCGGCTTCGAGGGAGTCTGCATCGTCGAGGCCTTCCGTTGATGTCCACTGTTGCTTGGGATTCCACTGGTTCCGTCGACGGTAGCACACACTCAAGACGACAATGAAGAAAATGGCGGCAACGCAGCCGCAGACGATCGCAACGATGGTTCCGGTGCTCAGAGCGCTGTCCTCGTCGCGATCGTTGCTGCTGTACCACCGGTACGAGTTCACTTCGATGTTATCCTGGGATAGGTCGGAGTAAATTTTCACCTGAGTGCTATTGTCTGAGGGTGATCCGATCGCTAAGCAGGTGTGGGCTTGGAGTTGGTCCTTGTCGACTGTTGCCCTCGTCAAGTTGGTAGGTAAGCAGAGTCCATCGTCCTCAATCCTTGCCTCAGAATCAGTCCATACGAAATATTCAATTGAAGCTGACCCATTCACGCTGAGTGAACTGATGAAATGGAAGTCGTCTCCATAGATACCCGCACAAGTATTCGTCACTTGAAATCCAATCGCAAACTCAAAAGTGGAGCATTCTTCACCAGAGTATACTTCTTGGATGATGTACTTGGAGCTGCCAAACATATCCCGCATAGTCTGGAGGTAGTTCTCGGAGCAGTTTGTCGAAGTCCATCCGCCTGTTCGTGCCCCGTAGCCGTACGAATCGCACCCGCCGTCTTGGGTGGACAGCGTCAAGTAAGGCACAGCGCTTCCATTCTTGTAGTCTGACTCAACCCTGTACACGGTAGCGTCTAGCGGGGTCCAGAGTACAACGAATAGAAAGAAGACAGGATAATACATGCCTTCCCCCATCTGACCGACGGCGTGTTGCTCCAAAACGTAAAAGCTGAAGTGAGAACGACACGGTTTAGTGTGCTGAAGCTGGTCCGGTACAACAACTACCAGCTACGAGCCGTTGATGCACTGTACTTGAGCACCATAGAAATGGTGTGTTTTCCGCGAGAAGATGCGGAAGAGAAGCTTTCAGGAATGGTGCTACTGGCAACTTGCGACCACACGCCTCCGGTTCAGTCAAGGAGTTTCAAACGACCAAGTTAAAGTGGGAGACCAGACCATTCGTAGCGGGCATTCGCTATTTTGCGCTCTACCCGACAAGCTCTAAACCCGCCACGCCACTCCCAGGGCAACCTCTCTAACCAGAGGTGCCGCTGCTAATACACCGCATTGAGGTGCTGCCGCAAAGCAGCACTCCCCCAGGAGCTCATGACTGAAATCCAGCGTTGCCGGTACACAACATAATCCAAAACAACACTATGTGGGTAAATCACCAGTAAGGTTTCCAGCAAAACTAACAGTTATTATAATACCGTATTTTATTAAAAATAAGCACAGGTCCCGTATTGTTATAGGCCTACTGCAGAAAGGCTTCTGCACTCTTCAGGGCCAACATTTTGGGGTTTCACATGTTTAAATGCGCCGCCCCTAGTGGTGTACACTACTGGGGGACGCGGGTTCGTCCACAGCTAACGGATCGAAACAAGACTGCGTAATGAAGGATGTGTGCACCTAGAATAGGTAATGGACAAGCCTCAGCATCAGCGCATGCGTTGTTCGTCCGTACTGGAGATGCCGCCGCCATGGCATACTTGCCGCTAGTCAACACATTCTTGTAGGATTTTCTTAACTCGAAAGGTCACGAAAGATCTTACCGTGTTCACACACAGTGAAGCTCTCCAAAAATAACTAATTGTAAAAAAAGGATTCTGTAATTTGCGGCGAATAGGCGCCAATATGGCAATCTTCGCACAGCAATATCAAGTAAGGCCTGCACGGAGCTACAAGCACCTCCATTGTGCTTAGAATTCCGAGGTCTGTCGAAAGACATCGGTCCTACTCGCACTAGTGACGTCTACCAAAAGTCAATTTTGCGACGTCCCCCCAAACGCCACTTTTAGGTACATGACTAGTGGCAGCGCATTAAACTGTGAAACGGTACCCTTCACTGAAGGGCCTTCAGTCGCGTTGGGAAAGGCGAAAAGTGCGTTTTTAATGTCTCTGGGACCAGCTCATGGTATCTTAGCCACTTCGGATTTTACGCTAGAGCACCAGGAGCGCTTGCCACCGCCAATCAGGTGAGTCGGGCGAGATGCTATGCGTAGTATTATTTCTGCTTGTCGCTCTGAGCGTGATATGGGCCCCGCTAGATGCTGCGATTTACGAGATTCGGACGGGCTACGCAAATGGCAGCAGTATACCTTACGCGGTGGACGCGAGTCGAAATGGTGGCTGCGAAAATGGAGAAGTTGTTCAACGAGATGGCGGCTACACTACGACGAACTGCTCCGAGAACTACCTCCAGACTATGCGGAGTATCTTTGGGAGTTCCGAATACATCATTCAAGAAGTGTTCTCCGGCGAAAACTGCTCCACTTTTGAATATGCGATCGGCTTTCAAGTGACGAACTCCTGCACGGCAGGATACCTAACGGGTACTATCCACCTCACCGCCTCTCTTCATTCGAATGGGTCAGCCTCGATTGACTATTTCTTGTGGGGCGCTTCTAATGGAAGTATCCTGACGGATGATCTCTGCTTACCCTCCAACTCGACGACGGTTTATGCTGACAAGGACAAACTCCAAAGACATACCTGCTTAGCGGTCCGCTCTTCCTCTACCAACGACGGGACGATGGCTGTGTACCTCGCTATGAGCCCACGCAATGTATTTTCCAATTCGTACCGGTGGTACAGCAGCAACGATCGCGACGAGGACAGCGCTCTGAGCACCGGAACCATCGTTGCGATCGTCTGCGGCTGCGTTGCCGCCATTTTCTTCATTGTCGTCTTGAGTGTGTGCTACCGTCGACGGAACCAGTGGAATCCCAAGCAACAGTGGACATCAACGGAAGGCCTCGACGATGCAGACTCCCTCGAAGCCGCTACTCGTTACAACCGGGGGCTCTGGAATGACGAGATCATCATTGCCAAGAAACTCCCCCGCGACAAGGTGAAAATCCAGAAGCTCATCAGTCGAGGCGCCTTTGGCGAGGTCTACGCGGGGCAACTGCATCGCAACCAAGTGGCCGTGAAAATGCTCCTGCCTGCTACACGCAACAGCCTCAAGCACGTGGACGACTTTCTCGCTGAAGCCAAGATGACGGCCGTCATGGACCACCCACACGTTGTGTCGTTTATTGGCGTCGCCTGGGACTCGCTCTCTGACGTCTGCGTCGTGCTGGAATTCATGGACGGTGGCGATTTACGCACTCTGCTCAACAAGTACGAGACGTCCAAGCACCCCGTGGGCTTCGACAAGCAGAAGGCCACCATCGCCCTGCACGTGTGCCATGCGCTCACGTATCTGCACTCGCTGGCGCCCCCCGTCATCCACCGAGACCTCAAGTCGCGCAACATCCTGCTCAACAAGGCCATGCACGCCAAGCTGACGGACTTCGGCATCTCGAGAGAGCGGCTGGACCAGACGATGACGGCGGGCATGGGGACGTCGCTCTGGATGGCGCCTGAGGTGATGCTGGGCGAGCGATACGACGTGAAGGCCGACATGTTCTCGTTCGGAGTGGTGCTGTCCGAGTTGGACGTGCACACGCTGCCGTACGCGCAGGAGAAGAAGAGGAGTCTGGACAGCGGAGGACGTGCGCTTGCGGACGCCACGCTGCTCCAGAGAGTGGCTGAAGGGACCGTTCGTGTCGAGTTTTCTGAAGGCAACGCGTCTTTCATCACGGAGCTCGGCTGCGCTTGTGTATCTGTAGACCCAAGTCAGCGCCCAAGTGCTGCTGAAGCCCTGTACAAATTGCAATTAGTGTTGGCCCAAGGGCTACAGCAGCTAACACTTTAGTTGAGTATCCTGATCAGCTGAGCA